CTTTACAAACCAACAGAGTTTGTGAGATGGGTTATGCGGTTTAAGTATCCAGTTGAGCCCTCAAGGCTTGCATCTTCAGTTGAAAAAGGGCCAAAGAGCTGCAAGCTGCACTAGGCCAGTCACTAGGCTATGTTAGCGAGTGCAAACGCCTGAATCCACGGATGTGTCCTCCTGAATTTGCTGTCAGGGTGATATGTCATGTTCGTTTTTCGGCCAAGACGCTTCTCTTGCAGTTACGTGGCGGTCATGGTGTTAGCGTTTCTGCTGCGTGTTCATGGAAGAAGGAATCGCAAAGCTTTTGGATCTGAGGATGTGTTATTTCCTTCAGATTATTGTGCTGTTCAGTCGCCCCTTTTCTACAGCAACATTGACAACCTTCCCGAAGTTCCTGACCCGAACGCTGCACAAAGCTTCATCTCAAAACCCTTTGGGCATCAACTGAAGGTGAAGCGGGGAAGCAACTCGCTTTCGCACTTGTTCGGTTTCGTATCTTTTCCTCTCTCTCTCTCTCTGTTTTGGTATCCTTTCGAAATGGGAGAACCCACTGAGAGGCTAAAACCCAGATGCACGAAACCCTGGGGTCCCGGCGGATATTTAGGGTAATATAAATATACATGACAATGACTTGCAACGGCTTTTTGAAAAGCATAGTTACTGTATATATATAATACATATATATATATATGGGATAGACATTGTAGCAGCAAGTAGCCGTAGCTCCGATGATTAGCGACCAATAAAGGCAAACGGAAAATGGCGACATCAGGGTAAAGACCATCGGATTTAGATGCAAAGAAGGCAAACTGCACCAGAAGACAAGTATCAATACAATTCAATACATATCAATACCAAAAGCTGCGATCCCTAGATAATCACGAGCGGGATTCAGACAACGGAGAAAAGACTCAAGGTGTGCACGTACACTTCATTTCGAAGGACATGCACCTCAATGATCCTCAGTGCATAAAGAGAAGCAGAACGCTGCTGAGCAACATGGAATGCCCAGGCTTTCAAAAGCGCCCAAAGATTTTGCCTCGGACGAGTCCGTCCCTTTTCCTGCCACCCGAAGCAACTCATTGGGATCTTTCTACCAGTGACGAGGCCAGGCACTTTCCTTTCCTGAACATAGCTGAACAACCGCCGATGCAACGGTGGCACTGACGGGTGGCCCAGGTGGCCCCGCGTCGCATGACCACATGGATGCGTACAATCCGGATGGCTTCAAGAAGCTGATCGAGAGCAAAAAGAGAGAGTTCAAAAAACATGCTCAAAGTACTGGCGACATCGAACATGTTTGAGCACCGTTTTTGCCGTTGCAATTCTTTTTTGGATTTATTCTTTGGCGATTTGTTCATTCTTGCCTTCTTCTCCATTACAATCCTTTCACATTGTGGACTTCAGATGTAACTTGGATCTGTGACAAGAGCTGCCATTTCTCGCCACCCTCGCTGCTTAGGGGTCGCTGCTTAGGGGTCGTCAGTTTTGGCATGGAATTTCGCATGGATCAGTGGACGGTGCTGATTTGAAGTTTTACTTTTTCATGCTTAAGAGAGATACATAAGTTTTATCGAGCTGCATGGGTGGTTTGGATCATGTGATTTTGATGGATAACTCTTGCTGGAGAAGTGCAAGATCTTGGACATTGCTCGCACGCAGCGCATTATTGCAGTTGCAGGGCAAACTCCCAGATCGAACTGTGCCGCGTGATTTTCCCCCATGGCACCGGCGCCAGAAGGTTCAGGCGGAGACCAAGCTGCCGCGGTGAAGGCTCCTGTCCAACATGTGATGTCGTCTGACATGGATATGACCCGACACGACTTCAAAGTGAAGATCTGTGGCGGCTACGAGGCCCAAAACACCACCATCAGCTTGGGTTCAGGCATTGCAGTTCAAAGTCGTGATGGTCCAACTCATCCCAGAGAAACCACCAAGAGTCAACCAGTGACCTTTGATGGTGGCCATCGTTATGTGGTGCATGCACCCCGGCCCTGCAGCATTGTCGATCGCTGTTGCCCGGAGCTCAATGTGCCCAATGTCTTGGTCAGTGTCTATGACAAAGATGAACAGCTCGTCGGGCAGCTTGCAGGCTTGGATTGTGGTGACTATGTTTGTTGTGAGGACAAGGACATTGCCTTGAAGAAGGTCTTGGATGGCGATGGAAAGCAACTCTTTGCCATCCGAAGGGCCAGCACTTGCATCGACATGTGCCACTGTTTCGGTCGTGGCTGTCCCTTCGCCGCACGCTGCTTCGGGTGCTTTCCGAAGATTTTGCTTCAATGTCCACACGCCTGCATTCCAAGACGCATCGGAGAAAGTTGCAGTTGTGTGTGCAACACCATCGGCATCCGAAATTGCTGCATTCCTGAAGATGACGGGTGGAGGACTTGTTGCCCTGGCCTCGCCATGCAATGCCAGATGTGGTACGGTATTTTCTGCTGCTGCTGCTCAAGTACATGCCCCTTTGAAGTTTGCATGGGCCCGTGCATTCAGTTTTGTGAGTGTGATAGGTGCTGTCAGTGCGAACTTCCTACGTGCACCTGGTGCAAAGTCTGTGCTTGCGAGTGGCCTGGCCAATGCCTGAAATGCAACTGTTTGTACCCTGAAGTGCCGTGCCTCGACGGTTGCTGCATGAACTGGAAGTTTGACATGGGACCTGGAATATGGCAAACACCCGTCGACCAGCCAGCAGCCGACAAAGCCAGAGTGAGCGGGGTGGTGAAACGGCACCAGCCCACTTTTATGCATGGCATCGACTCCGTGAGTGTGGACTTTCTGAAGGATGTGACGACGGCAGAGAGGCTCGCTTTCTCCTCCGTGATGTATTGGGAGAGCATGAACCAAACTCCTTTCCTGACAGGAGGTATGACACTCTCACGTTGGGAGACATTCAATCCTTTCTTGGACGAGAAGATTCCTTACAAATTTGAAGCTACTCAGCCGTCCTGGAAGCAATTCAAGGACACCGAGTAGGCACCAGGTTTGCTTCCATTTCCGCCGAAGGCTAAGCCTTGAGCTCTTAGGAAGGGATGCAATTCTTGGGGCTTTGGTACTGGCTCACTTACAGAAGGGTTGCACTTGTGTATCGCTTTCTGGGTGAGCCTGGTACCAAGCTAAAAACTGATTCCTTTTAGAAGACGTTCAGCGCGGTGCCAACTGTCATGCCATCTTCGATTAGATATATCTATATATCTATAGATATATTTATGTATAATATATGCATGGGACCTGGGGGTGTGAATGATGAATCCTCGGCAGCTCGGCAGCTCATCATGAGAAGACGTTCAGATGTTGCAGTTGAGTGAGAAGAATCATTGGCACCACACTGAAGGACTCTGCCCCCGACTTCAATTGTGAAGTGCTTGTGCCCAGAGGCTATTCATGCATGGTTTAGGTGACGGGCAAAGCTGGCAAAATCTGCGTTCCTCACGAAAGCTGATTCTTCTCTTTGCTTGCTGGTTGTGATTCAAGGCTGGGGATCTTGGGACGAATCAGCCTGTTGATCTACCCGCAGCGCCCTGGATCTCAGCGTCCGATCTCTGCGTGTCGCCAGCGAACCGCTGCGCGGGACGTCCGGCGCGGGACCTCTGCACGGTTATGGGGGAAGTGACGATGCGGTGGCAGCGCAAGGCCTTCACCTTCCGCGACGAGACCTTTCAGGCGCAGAGTCATGGCCGAGGGGAAACCCGTTGGAAGGGTTCCAGTTCCGGCTGAAAGTTTCGGTGCGAGGATTTCTGCGGCTGACTTACGGCATCCTTCGTGTCACCAGGTGTTTAACTTGTTCCAAAGACGTGGATACGTCGTGCGGAAACATTCTTCGGTTTCCAACAGATGTAATTGATCAGCATGGATCTGGGTCAGTGAGGCCTGGAGGTGTTAGACTTCTGTCAGCAGCTCTCGTCTCCGTCAGCGTTCTTCGCCAGGTAGAGCACTTTGATGTGGCGGAAGCAGAGTCTTCATCTTCCGGTGATGATGAGGAGTGTACACCTCAGCTAGCTGGAAGAGAAGCATTCTTTCTCTAATAGAAGCGGGAAAATGTTCAGCTTCTTTGGGACTCGATCCAGGTCTCTCCAAGCTCGGCTTCAGCGACGTAAACGGGAAGCTCAACTGCAGCGCTGTGAAGCAGAGCTTGGCGCTTGCCTTTGGAGCCTCAAAGCGCAGTTTGTGCTTTTGGTTTGCCTTTGCACATGCTCGGGAAGCTTGAGGCAACCATAGGCAATCCTTGATCCAACCATGTCGAACCTCATCATAGCAATCAGTTAAACATCAATCGCTTGCGCTGTGCTTGATGGTTCGTGCTGCATATAGAACACCTCTGTTTTCCGGTCGTGTCCCCCCGAGGATTGACACGAACCGCGCCGCTCTGCGGCTCTTGGAGGAGTGGCGCTCCAGTTACCGCGGCCTCCGCACGTTGGAGCTGGGTGCCGGCGCCGGCCGGGGCGACCCAGGGAGCCTTCGGCGTTGGGCGCGAAGCAGCCGATATGCAAGGATGGCTGGGTGTCGGGGCAACGAACGATGGAAGTTGAAGTGTTTCACTAAGAACATGGAGCTCTTCAGCTTCGACCATCCAAGCAAACCGAAGCCTCAAACCGAAGCCTCAAACCGCTCCCCATTTGCGACTCGACCTCCCCGAGGCGCGTGCGGGATTGCTTTGGCCTATGATGGCGCCACGTCCACGGTGCCGTGGTTCGACCGGGTGGTCTGGCGCGGGAACAGCGCGAAGTTCCCGCACGAACACCGCGGTGTTCAGGGAGCAGCCGTTTCGGTTTTCAAGGACGTTCGGGATGGTTTCAAGGACAGGCTTCTGCCACGTTCAGAAGACTGAAAGAATCCCAACAGAAAGAATGGCCACAGTAACACTGCTGGTGTGTCGGTTCTAGAACATCGGAGTTGGATTCAGAAAAGGAGTGTGTCTAGTCATCATTCATAGAGCAAGGACACTGTTGGACCAGATGTGATCCTCGGGATTTAGACCGGGATCTGGTTCCAAAACCTGCAGGTCTCTGATGTAGAGGCGCTTCTGCCTCTTCTACAGCGCAATCTGGAGCTGAACGAGTTTCTTGGAGGCTCAACTGGCCGTCGCCGAGGATGTGCGCCGATGTCGAACGAGTTCTGACGGATGGACCAGATCGATAGATGGACAGATGGACAGAGTGCCCATGGGCCCATCGTTCCTGCTTCGGCTTCGGCGGCGTTTTGGCGGTCGACGACGGTGGTTTAGCTGAGGCTTCACACGGCCGAGGTGCGCGCGCATGATTTGGGAGTGTGAGGGTCGCTCAAGCTGTGTGTCCAGATTTTGGGCGTTAAAAGTTTGGAAGTTTGGACACCCCCACTCCAACATCAGAGTGAACAAGAAGGGTTGCAGCGTGAGGGTTCATGGGTTTCTTTGGATCATCTTGGGCCCCACAGCGCCAGGCCATGGCACGCCGTCCCTTTTCCACCGCGCGAGGCCACCGGAGTGGTCCCGCAAGAGGTCGAGGGCATCGTGCCCACGTCGAAGAGGAAGTCCAAAGAAGCTCGTTGGCAGACTGAAAAGGAACGTGATGAATCAATGAAATGATCAAAATGACTGCGAATTGATGGAGAAGACACTGCTGAACAGTGTTTTTTTGAGGATCTGCTATGATCTGATGATTATAGGGGAGCCATGGGGAGCCCAAGGAACACTTGGTGAAGTAAGGGCCTACATTGATGCCACTGGTTCTTGGGCTGACTTCCAATGTTTCGTTGACATTGTCTCTTGAGGAAAAAACTGGAAGTTCACGCCGGCGGAACAAGCCCACGAGGCCCATTGCAAGACGGCTCACAACAAACCTAGTTCAGCTAAAAAAACTTGAAGGGACACTTTTGAAGATGGCCCATTCTGGGCATTCTGATTGTGCAACCTTCACGTGCCAGGTCCACAATGAAAGGCAGCTGCCAGGCGTTGTGGTTAGTTGAGCAGGGAGTTCCACATGCATGTTGGCATGTTGGGGATCACTTCTTTTCGGGTAGGCGGTGGCCGTGGAGTGGGAGAAGGAGGCTTTGCATCCGACCTTGCCAGAGAAAGCCTTTGACCTCATTGTTGCCTGGCTTCAGCCATGCGGAGGTTCAGTCAGCAATGGAAGAACATACCGGTAGATGAGATTGGATGCCAAAGCCATTCATAGGGAAGACGTGCTGGTCCAGGCTGGTCCAGGATCGAACCCTTGTGACCGTTAAAACGCTCCACGCGTAACGCGTAAACGCGTAAACGCACGCTCCACCCGCCGGCTCAGGTGGTTTGTGATTGCTTGTACGAAAATCGTGACAGCCACTTGGCTGCCGCATCAGATCAGCCAGCTCAGCAGCTCAGCGGCTATGCCTTGAGACACACACAAAGACACTGCCGGGACCTCCGATCTGCACCGGGACAGTGCAGTTCCATGAAGAATGTGGTGCAGATCTTCGGTGGTTCAATGAATTGCCCCAAGGGAGGTCGGAAGATCAGTTCCATCACTTGCTTCATACCATGTGCCCTCCGCCCTCCGCCGTTGGTCGGGTGCCCCGAAAGTCGGGCGGCTTGCCCCGTCCGATTTTTTGGCTCCATAGATCCGACAGAGAGAGAGAGAGAGAGAGAAAGACAAGGGCTGTGGGGAGTTGATTTCCTCTTCCATCTTCCACCTCCCTCCATCTCTCGCTTCACCGTGATCATCTCTCGTGGTCAGGCTGGGCAGCGCTTCAGCTGCTCCTGGAGCGGCTCCCGGCGGAGGCCAGCGGCGAGCCGAGCGGCGAGCCGGCGGTGCTGTTGGCCTCGGCGGCGCTGCGGAAGCCCTTCCTGGAAGCCTTTGTAGCGCAGCTCGCCAAGGCCAAGGGAAGCCTTTGTAGCCCAAAAAGACTGGAAGTGAGGTGAATCTGTGAATCGAGACAACGAAACGTGTAAGATCTGGAAGTGGGTTGGCATATTTTTTGGGGGGATCACCCATTAATACCCATTATATACTTTCTTTTCGATGACAGTATTGTTGACAAGACAAGGACATGCATGGGGATGAACCGACTGGTGGGATGTCCATTTAGTCGTGGTATCTCCGAATGGATTACGAAGATGATAGTAGTAGAGCATTTCTCATGCTTCACCTATTCTTGCAGGCTGGCTTCACTTTGCTGCGACTTGGCTGCTCATTGACCACGACTGACCCTGCACACGAACCAAAGCAAACCTTCAGAGAAGATCAGACGATCCCTTTTCTTCAGGCAGAAGCAAGAAGGAGGCCACCTGGGAGAAGTTTGCACCGCCATCCTGCAACCTCCGAAGAAGATCCGAACCGATGCATCGTCCGAGCTGGCGGTCGAGGCGCATTGATGCATCGAGGCGCATCCGGGGTTCTTCTGCGCATGCAGAACTGGCTGAAAGCAGTTGTCCGGAGTATCAGGCCTGTATATACACGGTCCCAGCGTCCTCAGGTATTTTTGGGTTGAAATCAATTGAACACATCTAGCATGCACAAGAATTGCAACTCACCAATCTGCAAGGTATGGTGATGCTTCGCAGTGCAGCTCTTTCTGGCTGAAGTGGTGCTTTTGGATGACCACATTTTATGACGAGAAGCATCAAGTCTCGCTGCGCAGAACCCAAGCAGCGCAGTTGAGAAGCTGAAGAAGCTGAAACTTCTTGCACTCAGAAGCGGCTATGGCGCCGATTCATTTCCCCGCCTCAGCAGGGCCGAAGAAAGGACGACGGCCGAAACAGGGCCAATCCAGCGAGCAGCTTGACAGCGCAGCATTGGTGGTGCAGCATATTGGTGAGTGCATTGCGCCAAGTCTGTGAACATCAAGGTGAACGGAAGATTCATGAGCATTATGGAAAATGGAGCCTCTTCAAGGAGGAAGCAGCTCAAGTTCCATTTGTGAGTGGCAGATGTTGCAGGTATCAGCAGCTGACATCGGAGTCATGCTGAGACCGCATCGCAGCAAGGTATACATCTTTGCACACATTACATTTGAGGCTATCCGACCCTCTGCAAGAAATGGACGTTTGTGGTCTCTTTGAGATAGTGTTGTCAGCCACGGCATGTTCTGCAGTGTGATCTTGTATGTTGCCTATGCTGTGACGCCGGCACCACGCTCTAATAGCTGTAGGTGAAAGAGTGCTTGCAGCAACTCGAAGTTGAGCTTCTAATTCGCATGATTTCGTAGAGCTACGTGGGGCAACTCTGGGGCTCATTTCGTCAAGTTACCTGTGATGTTCCTTGGAGCCTGTGATGTTCGCATTCCTGGACAACGAAGCCGTCCGGTTCGCGAAGCCGTCGGACGGCCATGGTTCCGACAGACACGCGGCATGGAGACGGAAGGCCGGCCGAGGTGAGGTTAGCGGAGCTCTAATCGAGGGTGTGTCGGTCATTGGGATAGAGTAATGGCCAATGGGTAGGTCTAGTAGAATCTGGTCGACAGGTCCGGCGATCCTCAACGAACCAGACGCTTCTTTCCGTCCGTGTGACCGTGTGGTCGTTTTCTTTCTTCTTCCGTCTTAACCACGGGTTTGTCTCGTCTCACCACCGGTGCCGTTGGGGCTTCGCTTGTGATCGAGGTCTCCAAGTGGCTCTGAGGCGGGAGAACTCGAAGGATAGGTGATCGGTCTTTCGCACGCAGCTGCGATCGCGCCCCAGGAAGCTCCGATTGGGTTCGCCTCAAGACGAGGAGGCATGAGATGGAACGAGTATTAGAAGCGAGGGTAGGAGGCATGAGTGTTTTCTTTCTCATTGGTTTAAGCAGATGTTGGTGGTGTTTGAATGACCTTTGTGCCAGGACATTTGCTTCGTCTTTCGGCATTTTGCACATGAGGCCTTGCTGGTGTACTGTGGTGTATTATCGTGTGCTTTTTTCCATGTTTTTTTGGTGCAAAGTAAAGCGAACATGCCACAGGAAGAGAGAGGCTTGCGGCTTTCGTTCAACTCCAAGAGACCGTCTGGAAACGCATGAAGCGCTTGGGGTTTCCCACCTCCGAACACCACGACTCCGACCGAAACTGCAACGTATATGGTTTTGTTTTAAGATGTTTTAAGCACATACCGAGTTTCGAAGGCTACACGGTCTGCCCGTATGGCGTATGGCCTGGGGGCCGCTGCAGTGAGTTTGACCACAGCTCGCGACACTGAAGGCCTTTGGAGCTGAAGGCTTTGCTGGAGGTGCCCGTCATTGTCGCGCCAAAACCAACATGTCTCAGCACCACTCCAAGGATGCTTCAAATTAAGCACCCCCTACGCCCTACTCCCTACCATTGCTTTACCATGGAAAACCATCTCCAAGCACTCATTGTGTGGTGCTGAGATATCTTCGTGTTTGGTTTAATATGCAGGCCATCGCTATTAGGCCATCGCTATTAGGTTGGAGGCCATTGCTTCTAGGTTGGAGGCCATCCCTCTTAGCGCCATGGCTGGTTCCTTTGACTAGGTTGGATGGCTGGTTGTTCACCCACTTGCACTTGGCTCCATAAAACAACCATCAGGCGCTGCATGCCTCAGTCGCTCCGTCAGGCGCTGCACGGCCCCAGTCCTGAAGGCTTCGCTGAACGGCTCTTCCAGGACGTCGCGGCGAGCGGAGCGGGTGAGAAGGGGGACCTCGACCACGGCGGGGGGGTCGCAGGAAGAAGAACATATGGAGATCATAGACACAGACACCTGGCTGGACCTTCTGGAGGGGAGACACTTTCCACCTGGACCGGAGATCGGGGTGTCCTGTCGGTCCCGGATGGTAGTGGGCTGGGGCGAAACACGGCGGCGCGTGCACGGTGCACGGTGATGGCGTCCGTCACGCGGCGTCCGTCACGCATCGGAGGCGTGGGCACCGAATGGCTTCCTGACGGAGGGTCGCTTCAAAGCAGGATTCAAGGTACTCATGGAGTGGGAGTGGAGAGTCAGGATGGTGCCATCGTGGATGTGCCAAAGCATGAGATTGAAATGGGTCAAAACCTGGAGCCTGACCAGTCCACCATGTAGCTAGCGAACGATCAGTCTCGCCGGTAGGTCAACCAACCAAGGTATCCTGGTGCCATCACAGCCATGTTACTGATTGTCACTCTAATTGTCACTTGTGAAAGGTCTACGCTGTGCAGCATGAGTCCTGGGTGCAACAATGGTGGCTCGCCACCAGCGGAGGAACCTCCGACCAAGCACCCAGCCAGGCACTTGGTGCCATTAGATTAGAGGCCATCGCTATTAGGTTAGAGGCCATTGTAATTTTTTGGAGGCCATCGGTCTTAGGTTGGAGGCCATCCCTCTTTTGTTGAAGGCCTGCGCACTTAGGTCGGAGGCCATCGCTCTTAGGTTGGAGGCCATCGCCATGAGGTTCATTTGACTATTAGGTTTGATGGCTGGTTGGTTGATGGCTGCGGGGTCTTTCCAAATCAATGCACTGCGCTGGCCGAATTATGCTGGCTCTGAGGTGAGACTCTCGTGCAGGAGGTGCGCAAGGCCGGTTCACGTTGGAAGGTTTGACCATTGACCCTGATCAAATTTGACCATTGGATTCCGAAGAATCTGGGTTCTTGGCATCTGACAGTTTTGGCCAATGTTCCTACTGATTTGCATACCCAACGTATTCCAAAGGGATTGATGCTCATGATTCACGACTTGTTTCCATCCTCCGCGCATTGAAAGGATCATGAAACGGCCAGCTTCGAAGAGTTCCAGAGCTTTGCCAACACTTTGGCCGAGGATTGGTGGTGTTTTTGCATATTCTTTTGATGAGAAGCCTCGGGACCGGACCTGCTCTCGCTTCTTGGTGCAGAGGACTTTGTACCTCCGCCAACTTCATTCTTGCAGGCCGTTTGGAAGGCCAATGTTGGGAGGTAGAGCTGTGGAAGCGCTCTATGGGAGAATGGAGCCAGTCAAACAAAATATTGCTTTGGACTTGAAACTGAGCAGTAGCTATTGTAAAATTAATAGACATGCAGTATGATGATATATGTCCTGTGGCTGGACATATATTGCGGGCCCCCAATCACGATCCCCTTGGACAAGTATCCTATCAACAAAACAGCGCCGAGCCCAAACATATAGGGAAACGTAGAGTTGGAAGACCCCGTCAGCATTGGGTGTTTAAGTCTAACGAAGACATTCATGCATTGCATATAGTCATACTCAATATGATGGAGATCATTTTCAGAATGACTCTATTTTGAGGGCGGCGCACAATCGAGCAATCCAAAAGCGAAGCGCTCAAGCATCCTTCTCGATACTGAGACTCAGTATTGGATGCATTCAGGAAAAAAAAAGATATATACACATATATCTAAGTCCCATGTAGTTTATACTAAGAGATGTACATCAGCGCATCCTTGCTCTTCTCGTCGCCCAACCCTCTTGGTTCCACCAAGTCCAGGCCGCTTGGTTCCCCTGTTTCGCTGGGACCTTTCTCCACCTGAGAGGCGGCCATGGAGCGAGGCCAAAGCTCCACGCTTCAGCCGATCTCCGATGCGGCCAGGGTGGCCCAGGGCTTCAAAGGGTCGACACTTGGGTCGACGGCTTTAACAGAAGGATGTATTTGTTTTTCCTTTTTTTTGAATTTACTTTTATTTTTTCAGAGCTTAGGGATTCGGCAGCAGTTTGTGACTCCAGTTTGTGACGTGCTTTGTGATGCTTTGTGGGATGACGGACGAGAATCACACGTATCCAAAAACACCTATATGCACTGATGAAAAGCTGTTGAGGTTTGTATGAGTGGGTGCAGTGCATCGTGAGAATGCACCAGCTGGCCTGGACTCCGCGAAGGAACCAGCCTGGCCCACTGGCCGAGGCTTATGATGCGCTGCTCCATGCCTACAGCTCCCAATGGCGCTTGTGGCTGGAAGATTGGATCTCTGAAAGACAGGTGCCAACGATGGTTGATCATCGTTGAAAGGCATAGCCAACCAATGGGCTTTCTCCATCAACAGTGCTTGTCAGACTTTGTTCATTTCTTCAGGTGGTCATGGAGTTGCCGACTGAGCAGGCAGCTCGTTGCGTGCGACATTTGGGACACTCCCAACGGGAGACCACGATAGGCATTCCGTAGCAACGTGCAGTGTGCTGCGCAGTGCGCAGTGGTGTGAATTCGAGGTCTTGAGCCGAGTCGAATAATTCAATATACGAAGGTCTCCAACCAATGGGCTTTTGGTTTATTTTCCTTCTTCCAGGACATCTCTTTGAGCCATACCAAGAGCCATACCAGTTTCTTCCAGGACGAGGAAGTGAAAGCTGCTATCACTGTGCAGCGGCATTATCGCCTCCTCCTCAGTCTTGAAAGCCAAAAAAGGGGACACACACACAGACACACAGAGTGACACTATCAACAACTTCGCTGAAATTCACGTATGAATGAAACGCGCATATCTTGATAGCGAACCTATTCTTTGACTTGGCTGAATGTCCATGTCGACCTTGCACAAGAAACCTGACGTCGACCAGTCTGGCGACGACCAGTCCAGGTGCTCACAAAGCTCGGCAGAAGGTGAAAAGCAAGCGCGTAGAGGTGGAAAACGAAACTGAACAGAACGAACTCACACAAAGGATATTCTCACAGTGACCCTCCAAATGAACAGACTTAAAAAAACACCCAAAAAAGCGTATTGTTGGGGACCTCTACAATAGGAAGTTGTACTGCCGCATCAAGAAGAACATTCGGTTGGTCATGTTGCACTGCAACAACTCTCGGTGTTCCGATCGATTCCAGAAGCTTTGAGACTAATGCTTTCGATCAGGTACTAACTCACGACCTGGCTGAAACCATGGCCAACAAGGCAAGGATTTGGAAAATCTAGATTGCAGGCCATCGCTATTGGGTTGGAGGCCATTGCTAGTAACTTAGGAGGTTGGAGGCCATCGCTATTGCCTTGTATGGCCAATCAAATCAGTTGAAACTGCCGGGATGCCCACTTTTGGACAATAGGCCAAGTCGGGGTGCCGAACACCTTCACATCCACTGGATGTGACACTCATACCACCTCAACATGGAACGTTTTGCTACAACCACTTGTAGCTGACGGTCTGGGTGATCACCTGTTCCAGGGTCAAGTGAGGTAAGAACAATTATTTTATAACATTCAGTGTATATTTTGCTACAGATGTTGGCAGTCTTTCGATGTATTTAGAGTTTCCGATCAGGGCCGGTTCTTGGGAATGGGATTTTCGAGCTTACTTCAGCGGCTGCTAAGAGCTCCAGTGAGTCATCGTTTGCTTCGACTAGCGGCCCTTTGTTACTATATAATAGCTTCTTGTTCCTAGTAAGGCCGGGAGCTACGTTCGTAGCGATGCCCGATGTTCCGTTCGAGTCGCGATGCCCTTTGTTCCGTTCGTAGCTTCTTGTTCCGTTCGTAAGGCCAGGAGCCCCGATCGTAGCGTCCACTGTTCCTAGTAGCGTCCTTGCCCTTGCTGTGCTCCCAGGAACGGGCTGCGAAGCTTTTTCAACACTTCGCCGGTGGAAAGGCCCGCTGGGCACCGCGCCCAGCGCCCCGTGGTGTGGCGTGTCGCCCAGCGAAGCGTGTCGCCCGTGCCGCCGTGGACGCTGTTTCTGCAGCGACTCGCCAACAGCGTGGCGACCAGGATCACTGGACGGCAGAGGACATGTCCAGATTTTGTACCGCGCTCTGGCAACAAGAACATTTGCCGAAAGCTCAGGCGACCGTCCTAGCTCAGCCGAACCTTGGGATTCATGGACCCATGTGCTGCATCAAAACATAGAAAGATCAAGTATGATAAATATTAATATGTATATATATTTACCATGTATTAGTAAATACCAAAAGAAAGTCTGGCAGACCCATACTATTCTGTAGCACCCCACATAAGATGGTCTTCTATGTCTTCTTGACTTGGATTCATAGACCTTGACAGGCCACCTTCACAGAACCTTCAAAGCAGCGTGCGACGCCGGCTCTTCACACCGACGTCTCGAGGCCTGTGCCGCCACGGATCTTTGGTCTGGATGCCTTGAAGAAGGCCTCGCCACGTCGTCGCAGGAACCTGCCCCACCGACTCCATCGACGTTTTCGCCGACGTGCGGTCACGCGGAGCGTGGCGAGTCGAGTCGACCGACAGCGAGTTCGACCGCCATGGCCATCGGTGGCGTGTCGAAGGTGAACGTGTCGATGTTGCAGTGGTGTGGGTTTTTGGGCGCTCAAAGTCTAGTTTTTGAATTATGTCCTTCTGAAGAGGTCGGATTTGTCGGCAACTCACGGTGTGACACATGGTGCAGGTCCGTGCTCTGGGGGCGAGGTCTTCCAAGTCCAAGGCCAAAGCCACTCAGAGCGAGGACTCCCGCTCTCCCGCTTCTATTTTTGCGAATCGAGAGCGATTCTCAGACATTTTGGAGTAAAGACATTTGGATTTTTCAAAAATGAGAATATCCATCGAGAACTGGAAGACATTTGGACAACTGGAAGACATTGGGATGATAGTTCCAGTTACGCTCCGAAACAGTTTCTGGTCCAGAGGACCTGACAGACCTCGAGGCAGAGATTCTGAGGAGGAAGGAGTTTCGGCGTGGAATGTCTGGAGCTCGGCGGTTGGTTTCACTGCCTTTTCTGATTGAAAAGGGTGAGAGCCAGTGAGAGGATGCCTGTTTGCCTGGGCAAACCCAGGATGCCATGGAACCAGAAACGCTTCAAGCAGCTTCAGAAGTGGGAGAGGGCACGCTACAACGAGGCTGGAAGAGAAAGGACGAGAACCAAAATGTTTCTTCACATCAACCAAAGCTATTTCACGCCATATTGGTGTCTCATTAATTGGCCAAGAGGGGAGAGACAGCTTCTTGGACTTTCCATCTCTCAGGTCTATGCTTGCCCATGTTGCCGCGAGCGTTTTCGTGTGGCCCCAACCACCGGAGGCCCAACCGGTGTCGCTGCTGCACGGCGTCGTGTCACCCGGGCCATAGACAGTGTCTTTCTCACAGCCCCTTGGAGGTTAAGGGAGGTCAACCACCCCGACTGGGGGTCCAGGTACGTGATCTGTGGCATGATCAGTTGTGATCAGTGGTGAAAAAGGGCTCAGAACCTCAGTTGCTTCGGGGTGGACCGCCGTGCGAGGCCTGGAGATCGCCAAGGTGGTGGACGAAGGAATGACCCCAGGAGTTCTGGGCTCAGAACAAGGGCGTATACTACTAGTAGCAAGAAGCTACGAACGTAACAAGGGCATTACTACTAGCAAGAAGCTACGAACCGGGCTCCTGGCATCGCTACGAACGGAGCAAGGACGCTACTAATGACCAGAATATCTGATTTAACTTTACACAGCGCGGTGCCTCGCTCGCGTGTCGCGTTCGTCTCGCGACAAAGTTTGGGCCGGGCTGAGCTGTAAGTAGTGAGTGGCGGGTTCACGTCAGGTGGCGGCGTTGACCGGTCCTCAAGCGGCACTACGAGTTGGGTCCATGTCTCAAACTGATGAGTGTCCCTCAATGAGGCGTTTTCGCGTGTTTTGTGGTTGAGAGATGTTTTTCGAGAAGAAGACGAGACGCACTCTTGTGGTCGCGTGGTGTTTTTGTACGGATAATTTAGGGAACTGAATTGGTTCTAAGGATTCGTGGGCGCATGTTTGTGGGAAGTGCTGCACGAAAACTACCGCATCCACATGAGGCGGGCTGCTGCTGATACCATTGTTACTGAAAAGATCTGAAAAGAATCATTATGAAATTAAATGGGGAAACCTTCATCGTCCTTCCTGAGTCCTGGGGAACAAACACATTTCTACCCGAAGCTTCCTTTGCTAACACAAATGCACACTCATGTCAAAAGTCGACTCATAAAACACATATGGCACCTTTTTATATCCAACCGTGCAACCCATTTTGGGACGTGCTGTCACACTGCAGACTATGCAGGATAACTGAAATATGTAAAACTGATTGTCAAGAACACAAGGTAACAAAAGTAACTCGGTTGGGGTGGTTCGCCCCTTTCAAATTGCTCTTGTTTGGCGGCAATTTGCACGCTTTTCACCTTGGGCCCAAAACAAGACTAATTTTTTTTGGGAACATCCTACTTTCCTTTCGATTAACTTGCCAGCCAGATGCAAGGTGGCGGCACTGCACAATCAGGTTGCACGGAACGTTGCGCAGGGTGCGGCCATTTGCGCCTGGAGCCAAGAAGGAATTGGATTCAACTTGGCTTCAAAGGACCACATGCTGTTCACTCAGCCTTTCCCCTTCCTTATATTAAGCTGCTTGAGCTAAATTGAAATTGGAGGGACAATTGTTGGGAACACTTGGCTGTGGGTCAAAACCTTCAGGCCCAGGTTGAGTCCACCAAACATGAATCATGAACTACCAGATCCACCACAGACATGGTCAAGCTTGTTCAGGGTTATCCCGGATCAAGTTTAAAGGATGCTTTGAGGGATACAGATGGTTTTCCACGTTTTTGGACCCCCCAGACCCCCACTGAGGCCTCACGGTCCGGCCCCACGTCCCTCGTCGGGGTCTGCCTCCGAGGCCTTGCCACCCGGCAGCGCTCGGCCCGCCTTGGCGGGGTCCGGTCCCTTAAGCCCCGAAGGTCGTGGCACGGTTTCGGTCGGTCGGACCTCGCGAGTGATCCGTGGCACGGTTTCGGTCGGAGCCCCGTGGTACGGGTCGATCATGGTCGATCCCAACGTGGGCCCCGAAGGGGGTTTGGAGATCCATTCGTGTGGGCGGCGGTGGTGGGACTCACTGCGGTTGGTCCGTTTTTGTTCACGACCGAGTGCAGGAGAGTCCAGGAGTTCGGATGGGAATGTGTGTCCAGACCGGGGGGCCCCTGGTGGTTTAGTTGGTGTTTTCTTTTCGTTTTTTGGGTTCCTGGGGTCTTTCAATTGCAAGCCAAGGCGGCTGTTGCTGGAAGCGGCTGTCTCCGGATCCAGCACTGGTGCACCAGCATCACCGGCTGAAGTTTGTCCATACAATCATACACTCTGAAGAAAAGACCGCTGGTTTCGAAGACCACTGTCCCGATTCCGCTTCTACGACCCTGAGTTCTGTCTTGATCCTTGTAGAAACTCATCGCAGCTCTGCCTCATCTCTCTTCGCATCCTCTTCGCCCTCCAGCTTCTGCTCCTGGCGGACGACGCCGAGCTGGAGGCCGTGAAGCTCGGCCCTCGGAGAACGGCATTCGGAGCGGTGCGGATCTGGTCGCGCGGCCAAGCTGGCGGAGGTTGTGGTTGGCGGCGACGGCGCCCAAGTATCAGGTCTTCAAGGCCTCGCCGCGGCCGGGGTGCCGAGGAGATGGTGGGGGGTCATGGGTGAGGGATGGTGAGGGTGTATGTGCAGGGGGATGAAAAAAGATATGAAAAGACGTGAAACGAGCCAAAAGATCATCAAAGATCTGCAGTTTGGATCAGTTTGGCTCGATTTGGCCTTCCACACCCTTTCAGGTTTCTTTGGGAGAAGGTGGCCTTCTTTGCTCTTGCCATCTCACCGGACTCCCGCTGACTTCCAAGGCAACGGAACCAAGCCTTTGCCAAGGCCTGAAAACTCCACACAGGGCCAAGGCAACACGGTCCTCGAGCCGGGTAGTAGCGATGCCCTTGCTCCTAGTAGCTTCTTGTTACTAGTAGTACGGCGAGGAGCCCCGTTCGTAGCGTCCTTGCTACCTTTTCCATCCTTTCCTTTAAAATCTGAAGTACCACATTGGAGCACCTCATAATTAGTCACTTAGTCGTTCCATAAGAAGACCCCCGAAACCCCTTACCCCTTACGGGTTTGGTGCGTGGGTCTCGACCACCGTTTGCTCTTTGGTGTGCTCGAGGTGTCGGGCCGGGAGCTTGCTGCCATCCTCATGGTGTCAAGCTCAGTCGAGAGGCTGGTTGAGACGCCAACCAAAGGTAGACACCCAGGTGCAAGGAGGTGCAAGGATATGAGAAGTTGATCGATCCAGATTAGATATTCAGAATAAGAGCATGCAAGGTGCGGCTTGGGGTATCTTCGAGATCCAGAAGCATCAAGAACAAGCACATTCAACAGACTCCCACTCCAGACTAGTCTGTAGTAGTCTTGGAGACGGTTCCCGGCTGTGCCCCACTCGAGACGACTTCGAGGCAACTCCTGTAACCTTTGAACAATTGCCCTTGGTCGGTCGCCCAGGTCGATTTCCGCCGCCGTTCGGTCGGTGGTCCGGGTCGGGCCGGGCAGTTGGCAGCGCGCTGCTTCTTCCGGCGCGACGCCCGAAGGGCTGGTGGATGCTCTGCCCCTCGCCCCTCGCGCTGAGGAGACGGGTCAGTTGGACTATGTTCTCATGACCTGCTCTGCTGGTCAGGCGACGCATGCGACGGATGTCCAAGCTAATGTCGGGGTTGGCTCTCAGCAAGATACAGTCAAGAGTCAAGAGATGTCAAGGTTAAGCATTCAGGTACCACTGGCTGGTTGATCTTGTGCCAAGCTGTTTTCGGCCCGACTGGCAGATACCAATGCTTCGCGAGTGTCAAGACGATGCACCTTTCACCATCACTAGCAGGAGGCAGGTCATGCGCACAGCCACGCCTGGCTCGTTTGGAGTGAATTGAGGAGCCACCCATCTAATAGCAATGGCCTCCAACCCAAAAGGAATGTCCTCCAACCTAATAGCGATGGCCTCCGGCCTAAGAGCGATGGCCTCCAGCCTACTAGCGTTGGCGTCTAAGCCAAGAGCGGTGGCCTCCAACCTAAGCGTGATGGTCTCCAACCTAGAAGCAATGACCTCCAACCTAAGAGCAATGGCCTTCAACCTAGAACCTGAGTGACCTTTGCGAGCCACCAACCACGCCATGTGTGGTCTTCTTCCTATCAAAAACAGGGGTCCAGTGGGCTCTAGGCCAACCATCTAACTAGACTCGATCTTCGGCCGCCACACCGATCTGCTGGGACGTGGATCGGGTGTCGCGATCTCGCGACGCGTCGTTGGATCGTGTGTCGCAACCGGAGAAAGGCCGCGGGTGGTTTGCTTGCTGGACGCCACCTCTGAAGTGCACCAAGCCTTACAAAGTCACCTGGAGGCGGTACAGGAGGCGATGGCCTTGTTTACGAAGAAGACAACGATGCGGCGGCTTCTTCTTTGGTCTCTGGTTTTGTTTCAGCACCTCTAGAGATCCGTCCGAACAGCTGCGGAGCCCTGCGTTGTCCCTTTTGCCTACTAGATTTTTAGCTAAAACAGAGTATCGACACTTGAAATCTGAACACAGTTTTTGAAGTGGAATCTTGATTAGAATATATATATATATAAAGTTATAATGTAATATATATAGTATAAATCCCCAATTGGATTGTAAAACTCATCATATGCGGGGTACAGTTGTCCTTTCAGGCACACCAGTCTAAACGTTTTTTGTGCAACTGCTTGACTCCACACACAAACACGTGTTCGTTCTTGGATTTTGGTGCCAAACACTTTGTTCAGGCAAAAGGGCACATGTTCAAGGCTTTGAATCACTTGGAGGCACTGAGCGTAACCGTGAGAGCAATACTTCCGTGAGAGCGACGTGGGTGGGTTGGTCTTGACTATTCAGGGGACTTAGATGGACATGGCCTCCAACCTAGACCTACTAGCTATAGCCTCCATCCCAATAGTGATGGCCTCCATTCTAAGAGCGATGGCCTCCAGGGCCAGTTTTGACTATTCAGGAGACTTAGATGGACTTAGTAAATAGATGTTAAATAGTGAGACTCACTGCACTGAACAGTTTGATGTCGAGCAACATAATCTGACTGTGGTTGAGTGGTTGATGAAGCAAGAAGCTAGATCAAGCTCTGATGGAACAACCCGAGAAAAAACACAAATCTCTAAAGAGCTCTCTCTATCTTATTCTATCTTCATTTTGGTTGGCGGGCCCGCCAGATGGAAAACTGTGCTGGAATGTTTATACCAGAAATATCATCGTGCAATGCAGGCGGCGCAGTTTGATGGTCAAGAAGGACAAGCACAGGCTTGACAGTTTGATGTCTTAAGGACTATTATTCGTCCTCAATCCTGAGACCTGAGACTCAACCATGGTTGCACCAGAACGGCAGGTGCGCCTCGAAGACTTTCGTCCGGGGAGCCCACCGCCAAACCGCTTCGGAACCGCGGAGCCCCGCGGAGCCGTCGGGTTCTGAGGTCGGCACGTCTCCCGCTTCCCGGCAGTCGTCCGCCTGGAAGCGGAGGTGGGGGGGAAGAGATCGGTCGGGTGAGAAGCGGAGCAGGTGTGAGAATGCGGGGATGGGGCTGAACATGAAAGGACATCGGTCAATATGATCGATTTCGGATATTGTGCGCTTGTACGCTAGTATTTACAGAGGTGTTCCGGTGAGTCATAGTTGAGATCGCCTCTTTTCTATGTGCGAGGCCAGGCCTGAACGCATCTGAAAACGCTTGGCTTGACCTGTGAAGCAGGAGGTACCAGAGGCACCCGAGCTGCCCTTGGGTTTTACGGGGTGCGCGGCCCAGGGTCTCATCTCCTCACTATGTGTGGTGAGTTGCAGAGCAGAGCTCAACTTAGGCCCCTTCAGCCCTTGAGGAGACGTGCGGTCAGACAGGACGCGAGTTCACGTGCATGAAAGCCTCGTGCAGTTCTACAGATGGTGTACTTGCTCCAAGGGGGCACAAAAGGGCTCGAGGACATTTACAGACATTTTGCCGACAGGAGCAGGTGTCCAGCGATGAAACTGAAGAATCTGACAGCCCTACACTGCAGGCGCTGTTTTTCTTCCTGAGAAAACCGAGAGGAACTTCTGCAACGACTCTGAGGAATTCTTGGGAACCCGAACTTCTTCGTACAGTTTCATGGGCAATTTTTTGCATCACTTGCAGACTTTCATACACTTTCCCATGGCTTGTCTCATTGTTTCTCCATGGCTTGTCTCATTTTCCTCATGTTGGCACCGAGGCCCCAAGCCCTCGCCTCAATTTCCAAGATTTCGCTAGTTTCCTTTTATTTCCTTCAGTGAGCTGTGTTCTTTGAGGCTCAAAACCGGCTAAGCCCGCAACACCTCCAGCGGAAGCAAAGAACTTGGAAAGCTTCGAGACATGATGAGACGGAAGATAAAACTACATTGCACTCAGATTCTGAAGACGAAAGGCACAGATGCCGCGTTTCAGATGGTGTTCATGTGCTGATATGATACCAATACCAAGGACCTTGTCTTGTCCTGTTGAGGATATCCTGCCTTGGTGTGAAGCTGAGGCGCCCAAGACTGATTTGCTGCGCTTCTTCTGAGTGTGGTGCTGGGACCATCGCCGCTCAGAGCACCTGATGGCCAAGATTCATTTTCAAGGAGCAGACCAACGATGGCTCTGGAGATCTATGACTGGTTTTGATTTTAACGATTTTTGGGGCGTCCAGGGGAGCAATACCACCCGGTCGGATTAGGTCTACCAAAAGAACTGTGGTCTACGGTAGCTGGGCATTGACTTCTCTATTCCGAATTTAGACATCCCATTCTAAAATGTTTATGAAAAGTTTTTTTCATGGACATCCCATTCTAAAACGTCTAACCATTCCTTGTTTTTCGGTGTTTTGTTTCTTCGCGAGCGGTCCCTGACACCAGGAGCAGCGTCTTCGCAGCCGGTCAAGCTCGAGCGGTCAAGCTCGCGACGCGAGGTGAGGGTTCGGGCCGAGAACAGCCCTTTTCGGGTCTGAAAGATCAAGCCCTTTTCGTCTGCCGACTGTTTCGGTGTCTGCCGACTGCGCTTTTCATCTTCGCAAGAAGCAATGTGACGTGCCATTTTGTTCTCTAACATGATGCAATGTGATGCAATGTGCGCATGAAGCAAAGAAGGATGGAACTTGATGGAACGTGTTACTCCGCTGGAGCAGGTATCGAGCACAATGGAGGGATAGCGCAGGGCAGCGGACGTCCTTGAGCTGAAGCAAAGCTTGCAAGATCCTGGAAGTATGTTTGGTACCGTGGACATACCTTCAGGTAGTTTAGGAGTAGGAGGATCCAGCATCAGCAGATCCTCCTCCAAGTTCAAGCAGAATCTCTTGGAAATGAGCAGATGCGAAGCTAGCTCTTTCCTTTGTGGCAATTTGAGCAACACATGTTGGGCGAAGAAGAAGAAGCTCGAATTGCACGCGGATAAAAAGACCGAGAATCACCTAGCATCTCTAAGAACACTCAGCCGTTCCTTGTTCCAAGGTTTCATGAACATTTCGACGACTTTCTGAGTATCTCCTGAACCTGCGAGATTTGCTTCAGCCTCAAACATTCATGTTCAGTCCCGGTCAAATGTTCAATCTATTCGATCGATCCACTTCGCTGGAGTCCTACATTCCCACGACCCATGCTAATCTCTAGAACAACGGATGTACGTTTTTTTGAAGAATCACACCTCCACGACATGCCATACCGTTACTTACTACGCACCCCGACCGTCCAAGATGAAGAGCCAATAGATGATCACACATCGTTTTTCCAAAAGTTAACACTTTGCATGTGGAGTCCGGTGGATGTCCTATCTTCAGAAGAGGACACAAGAATGGGTCTCCATGAGGGTCTCCATGCTTTCAATGATTGCTCCAGCATTAAGGAAAACCATCATATGCCTTGTCAATCCTTGTCATATAAGGTCTTGCATAGACCCATGGTTTGCTTCACATGTTCTGCTGCATTGCTGTGAAGTGTGGATCAGTGAGACCGCTCTTGTTTGGTTTTGGCCTTGAAAGAAGCATCAGAAACAGGAGGGTGTACAGACTGCACGAGCGTGTGGCCCTCATGCTGAACAAATCCTGCAGCACCTCAGACTCCAAGAATGGTAGGCTCAAAAGGTAGGACCCAGGAACCTGCAGGTTTTGGACTATACCAGGCCTATGTTTGAGCCATAGCCCTATTATGAAGTGGGGATTGTTTGGGCTCCGCAGTCTCCGCAGTCGTATGGCAGTTAAAATGACATCATAGCGGCTTTGAGTAGCTTTTTGCAGCCCGGCCTCTCTTGTCTTGAACCACCGAGGGCAAGCTGCCAGAGCATTGCAATCGAGGACAGCATCCGCAGAAAGCCGCAGCCGCGAGTTGTTTGTTTTTTTTGTTTTTTGCAATGGCTTCACAGCTGCAGGATTTGTTCTCTCAAGTGAGCTATATATGCTATATTCAATCTGAAAACATATGAAAACGTGTGCAGGAAAACCCACCGCAGCCCCAGGCCGTCGGATGTGTGTCCGTCGGATGAAAAAGGCGGTCTTCGCTGACTCTCCGTGGGCGCCAGGTGAAGAAATCTCAGCGGCAACTGACTCTCTTTGCCACGTCTTTGCCCGGTGAAGGCATCGAGCCAAAAGAAGATCCATGGCTTCTTTTCCACCAGAGACATTGGTGTCTGCTTGCCTTTTCCCAATGTGGCCGCTCTATGCCACCATCTCGGATCACCTTGCCAGGTGCCAAAAAGTCGACGACGCCAAGTGGCACACGCAAGGTCCAGCGCAAGGATGCGACGTCAGGCGCGTGGCTTCCTGTCAGAGTGAAGGATTCTTCCCAGCGTTGGAGCAGGGAACAAGGCAAACAAGGAGAATGAGAAGCCAAAGAAAGGAACAAAGCGACCGATGCTCCCATCCTTCTTGTCAGGGACCTAACACCTGTGGATGGGCAGTGTTGATTTTGTGCTTTTGGCATCTTTTGGCTGCTGGTGATTCATTCTTGCTGGATCTTGCTGGTGATTCTGGCTGCATGTTTGCTATACCATTTTTGTTTGAGGATTTGGCTGTGCTTCTCTGCAGTGCTTCTGTATAACTATTTCTCTGTTGGACTCGGTCCTAGACAGTATCATTTGCAATTCCTCAGGTTTCAGGAGCATGCCCAGTCCGAGCCCTCAGTTCCGAGCCACGTGGAGGTCTTCATGACGGCCGGACGAGACGGAAGAGGCCGGACGGCGGCCGGGTCGAAAGGAACTGGGTTTTCTCTCTTTCGTCCTGGTTCTTTCAGTTCTTTCGCATCGTTCTTGTAATGAACAACGCGTGCTGGCAAGTGATAGAATCACGAAAGGTAGAATTTGGCAGACGTTGCCAATGAGCTGTAAACACCCATGGTGAAACCTACCGAGGTGGCTCGGTGACGCGAGCCGTGACTGTGGAGCAGCTTGAAGCACTGGTGCTGGGCATCAAGTTTAGAACAAAGGAACTCTGGAAACAAACACAGAATTGATGATGGAAAACCCTTGGATCAAGTGAAGTCACTTTTTCTTTGAACATTTCACCTGGAATGGGATGTTGTATGTGTGCCGCAAAAACGTGCATGTTCGTATGGTATCTGAGGTGCCAGTGTCCTTCATCCCGCAATTGCTTCCGCCAACCTTTGCAGATCATATCCTCCGCTCCTTCATGCAGGAGGCCAACAAATATCAAAAAAAACGGTGGTCTTCGCTGAAATTCGTGAAACGGAGAACAACCGTCCAAGCCCACTGTAAAACCCTATATTATATACACCCCCAAATAGATAGAAAAGTAGATCCCCACTCAAAATGTGGAAACCATTTCTACTCTGGCTCGGACATGTATTAGAAGCCGTTCTTATCTATTTGGGGACCACCAAAAACACAAGGTGACTTGACTTTACGGGATACACTTTTTCGTTGGACTCTAAGCGGCATCACCGGGGCCGCTTGTTCACGCGGTGAGGCCAAGAATTGGCATAGCTCCAAGCCACTGGGCAAATTTGCCACAAAACTCGCGAGCCACGTACTTGTGACGGGTCGAACGAACACGCGGGGAGCTCGGGGAGCTCGGAGCTCCTCTCGCCGTTTTCACGAGAACGCCGTTCCAAACGGCACCCGACTCTGATTTCTTCACCTTGAAGCACCCAGTAGTGCACCCAGTCTTCTTCTCAACGCAGGATGCGACGGTGAAACGATGTGAAACCGGACTTGCTCTGAAATGGAATTCACGGTACGTGAAACTCGTTTTTCCATGTTTCCACCTTTATATGGACATGCAACATCATGCACGCACCTTGCGCACATGATTTCTATGGACGTTCTTTTCATGTCTTTTCCACGGTGGATCCTCAGGCGTTGGCTCTACGAGCGCGAGATCGAGCCTTTGGTGAAGCAATCCCCCAAGAATCCAGTCCCCGGTCCCAGTGGTCCCTTGAAAGCATCTAGATAGCCTACACCAACCCAGAAAAATCTGTGGAAAGATAGATCCAACATGATCCAACAATCTAACATCAATGTATGTAGGGCAGATTTTCCTGCATTGACCCTTAAAACATGTTCAAACCACCTCAATGAGAGCAAATATGTCATACAATGGATATGATATGATTGTTTGGAAATGCTTTTGGCTGCTGCACACCAAAACGAAGAGCCGCAAGAGTCTTCTTCACGTTTTCCAAAGAGGACATAGTATGATTAGTATGGAGGGAATAAACGCTACAACATCAGCTGGTTGGTGTTCACGACAGAATCAAGAGGGTTTGCCTCGACAATTAAACCAAATTGCCACCGAGATGTATTCCGGTCCAGTCACCCTTCCAGCAACCGAGTGACCTTAGGAAAGCCATCGCATTGAGTCGGGCTTTCGCTGCTTGGCTTGTTAGCCATCTTCCCACGAAATCGGACGATGCCGTCTTCGAAACTCTTTAAGACGGGCTTAAAAAGTATGCAGTATACGGAGTGGGGAGAAGGCTGACAGGGTGATTTGGTTGCCAGACTGATTTGGTTTCCATCATTTCCGAGGTTTTGACCACATGGGCATCACTTCAACACGTTGGGAGACCAGCGGCTTTGGTGATGACTTGAGGCATTTGCGTGCTCAGGCACGAAGGGGACGGAGCCAGCTGGGGTAGAGTTGGATATGAAGGCAACAAGGCAACACGAACTCATGGCTGTGGACCCCAAGGAGTTTCGTTAAGCTTTCTAGCTGTGCCATCCTAAGTCACATCCGAAGCTTTCGACTGGGAATCGTTTCACCTGTAACAAGAAGCTTTTTCGTATGTATGTTTAAGCCATATTAAGCATCTAACTCCCAGGAGTCAATCCCGCCAGATAGTGACTGGACTACTGTCTTCTTAGAGGGAGGATCCAATGAGTCATCAGCGATATCGCCCTTTGCACTGGCAGACTGGCAGGTGACCACAGCAGTGCAGCAGGCCCGAGCGAAGCTGAGGCAGATGTGGCGCACGGGCGAGAGGCCTGGAACTTAGCTTGACCGTCTCCAAGGGGGACTTCGTTGGAGGTTTTCCTGTTGAGCGTTTGCTACCCTTGGCAGTACCCTGCAGATGGCTAGCAGGATTCTGCAGAGGGTTCCATGTCTTTTGGGCTGGCCGCGCAGGCCCTTGACCAAAGAAGACCTGGCGCAGGAGACGGTTGCCCTAGCCAGTCGTGGGCAGCGACTTGCCTCCGAGAGTATCGAATGGCTTGTGCCTTGGAGCGATGGCGTTGCTGGAACCGCTTGTTCTTATCAATCCCAAAAGATAAAGAACCGTTCAATGAAATTATAATGACATGTTTTCCACACTTCTCTCCAACTCTGTTTCACACCGCAAAAGTACCCAATACACACAGTACTCAATTGTCTTGCCACACTTCGGCCACTTTCAGCTACACAGTCCGGCTCGATCGGCTTGTATTCGCCGAGGTGCGTTATGCAAGCAGCTATGCAAAGTCATGGCGTTGGGAGCCAAACTTTTGCGTGGCCAACCTCTATCGAGATCAGGCAGCAGAAATGGGTGAATGACAACGCAAGACAACTGGTGGCGCACTGCGGATTGACAAGGTCTAGACCGCTTCAGCATTTTAGGAAGATGTCCAATTAGATGCCGGTCATGGTTTTTCTTTATGTAATTTTATGTCATTTTATGTCTATAGTCTATAATCATTTCACACTCTGATTCACATGGTCAGAGCCACTGCCTTCAAGTCCAGTGAATTTGGCCATTTGACACGTTTATAGGAGGACTTCCTGGGAGCGCACAGTGATCCGGTGGAGACCATTGGACCTTGGGCCATCATTGCATCAGTGACCTTCGGAGCAGCAAGGCAGTTTCGTATGAAACCCGTGGGCACAGTCCAGACGAATGCTGAAGGCAGGAAGGTTCGGTTCTGTCACCAAAATGTTCAAAAACAAGGAGCCAGGGTGACTGAGATAGAGTGTTTGCTTGTTTTTCATAGATCTTTCCGGTGATTTTACCCGGATTTGGCTGACTTCGTGAAGTTCAGAGACCGCCCGTGACACATGTCGATGCCAGGTGGTGGGCGCATCACTTCCTTCAGCATTCGGCTGCCACACAATTCTGCACTCATTTGTTGGGAAGGTTTTCAGGAGTTCTGGCGCCACGAGGTGAGTGTTTGGACGCCGCGAGGTGTGTTGGATGCTCCGACTCTTTTCCTTTTTTTCCAGATTTTGGTGCAACAGCTAGAAAGACTCGCTGGGACAACGTTCACGAACTTGTTCGTCGGACCAGCATGGATTTGGATTTCACCAGGTGCCCAAAGACAAGGGCTTGAAAGTACATAGCATCAGCGGGGCAGCTCGTTTGAACTTTACCTTTCGCAAATCGGTGTCTCAGATGCAGCTGGAGAATGGAAGACTCTGGCAGTTCATAGTAGACTGTGATAGGCTGAGTAGATTTTCCTTAAATAAGAAACATTGTATGTTCTTGTCATGTGCATATCCTATCCTTGCAAATGACATGTACTGTATTTGATGTGATTTCCTGGATTCTGGATGATGTGCAATCTTCGCAGAGGTCGGTGCTGTAGCTGCCCGCAAGCCCTTATGCCATTGTGGGCGCAAAGCGGATTTGAAGCCCGCCCCTCCGGCATGCTTGGTCCGGAAACGAACACGTGAAGAGGACGACCTCGAAGATGCCCTTGAAATCCAAACCGGTGATGCACCAAGGCGAGATGTATTTTTCATTTCATGGCCGTCAGCTCAAGCTCAAGCTTGTGGCTGAAAGCGCGCGTTGCCCAAAAGCTGAGTTATGCCATGTTATGCCAGGCCACCCCTCTTGGTAGAGTATATGTCGAAATGCAGAAGAAACATATAGTATATGCCAACATAGTTCAACTTCAACCCTCTTGGTGAAGTATGTTGAAGCCATTTTGGCACTGGTCTTTTGGTACACCGGTCCGGCTGAGCTGAGACACGGCTCTATGGGTGTAGCTCAGACACAGGGCGTAACTTGATTTTCTGGAAGCGGAAATAGATCAGTCTACCCAGCCGGAGGGGGACCCCTCCATAGTACGAAGTCCACCTTTTTCTTCAGGACAGATCGCAGAAGATTCGGAAAACCCTTGAAGACCTGCCAGGTGTTGAAGGCCTCACGCAACCGTGGGCGATATTTCTGGTCCTGTCGGAATCCACGCGTGAAGATCCTTGGTCGGCACCTGAAGAAGCAACTCATGCCGCGGACTTTGATGGTTTTTTCTTTGAGTGGATTTTGCTTGAACATCTGAAGCTTGTCACTGTTGGTTCCCACATGTTTAAACAAGTTGGAGTCCATGTTGGTTCCCAAAACGCCTCTCGATGCATTACTGGACGCCGGTCCTGTTTGAGGAAAGGCACCTATCGCACCTGCGACTTCTTCCAGTGGGACGATGAGCTGGTGGGTGGTCCGACTGGCAAAGTCCCCAAAGCTGCGGCTCCGAACCCGGCTCAGTCCCGCTTGGTTTCGGCAGGAGCTGCGGCACAATCCTGCTTGGTGTAGGTCACAGGATGCACAAGGCTAGCGGCTACTTCTGCACCTGCAGGTTCTTGGTCTGATTTTGTCAGGAGCCCCAAGTGAAGGTCCTCAAGTTCTTAATTCACAAGTCCGATCAGCTTGAGCTATCACTGGCTGACTGGGAGGGTGTTTGGAGAATCAGAAGCAGAGTTTTTTGTTCGGCATTGCTTTTAATTCTCTGATTAATTAGAGTTCTGAATTGATCTGAATTGCTTAATTGGATTTTGCTCGGAATTTGAGTCGTGCTTGGAGACTCAGATGAATGCAGCACGCATGAATTCCGAACAAAAAGGTCGAATATGACGGCACTTGGAGCTTATTGATGCAGATTCAATCATGTGTTTCGAGTTCATTTCAGGATATTTCAGGTTTCCTGAATGCAATCGCCTTTACTGGAATCAGGTGATGAAACACCATGATGAGGCTTCATGGGCCGCCATTTGCTGCTCAGCATTGCTCAATTAGTTGTAGTAGACATGGCCAAAGGATGGAAAAGTGTGGCCCCGCCATGCGCTCAGGACACTAGCTGCTAGCTGAGAGAAGTTTGGGGAAGGTGATGTATGAATGGGGACAGCTTTTGAGAAACGATGAGATGTGGCAATGAATCATTGTTGTCTTCAAAGGCATGGTGGAGCCGCTCTCCCAACGCTGGGCACTCAGAAAGATCACCACTGGCGAGTTTGCCAAGTAACCTTCATCGGACAACATAAATTGCCAATCAACCGTGTTCAAAATGCTTGAGTCGAGTGAATGGTGGGTTCTTGAAAATTTTGCAAGGCCAAGTATCTCTTTTAGATGAGCTTGCCAGCGCGGTAAGCAGTGGCTGCCTCAAGTTGTATTACAGTACAGGATGTCATTCAGTTTGCATAATATACATATATGCAGAAGCTAGGTTGCCTTCCCTTGTTCATGGAGAGCAACAAAACCGTTAATTACTACAGGGGCCGAGCATGCGTGTGACACCATTTTCTTTATTAACGGAGCTCACAAAAACAAGCGATGCAGTGCTCTGCCTGTGCCCAGGTGGCTCACTACAGGCCAGGTGGACGGATTTGGATGGATCGACACGTGGCAGATTCCGGTTCAACACATGCGGAACAGGCGCGACCATGCGGAAGTCAGGTGCCAGAGGAAGAGACCAATGCATTGGAGGCAAGGGGCTTAGAATGACTGTCGCCGATGCGGCACCTGCAGGGCACATTTGTGATCGTTTTTGCGACTTCGTCTCCAGAGATTCTTTCGACTTCATTACTGTCGATCATGGAGGCCTTTCATAGACACTGGCAGTCGGTGCGCAATAATCATGTGCAGCACGAGGCCTGTTGAAATGGAGTGCGTTGTGTTGAAATGGACGCATACCATTATGCAGAGGATTGTTGCTCCTTGGATTTGGATGTTCCTTATAAATTTCTTATTTCAACCTCGAAGAACGATAACAAAGAAGGCATGAAAACGCCTTTTTGACCGTTGCTACTTACGACCATATGCGTTCTTTTTTGAAGTCCAAGTCTTTCGCCAGGGCTCAAAACGGCGAGGGCGTTGGCAATGGACAGCTGGGCTGAATGGCTTTGATGAGCTGAATGGATGTTCAGATGGATTTGTCTTTTTTTTGCACCATTTGTTTCAGCTTTTTGTACAGCTTGTTCGATCCTTGACCGCAGGATTTGTCAGATTCAAGAGATTTGCAACTCTGCATGTGAAGAGCCCTTTGGTCGAAAAAAAAGCAGATCATGTCAAAACCACCGATCGGAAGTCGGATCATTTTCTCCGTCCTCAGCCGAGATCCTTCATTCCACCCCTGAGGCTTGATGCCGTGCTGGGCCAGCTAACAGAGTTGGATCGGCAGAGGTGTGAGGCGCGGTTTCAGCGAAAGACAAAAGCGGAGCGGCTGTGGAGCCGGAGAGACGCCGCGGAGCCTTTGGAGAGACGAAAAAGACCCTTTCTGCTAGCGGCCACTGTCTTCAGTATGGGTGACATTTGCAGTATGTTGCAGCTATAGACTGAGACAATTCAAACACCTACATACACCTAATTACCGCCTACTTGCAAGAAACTGGTTGTTTCATCCTCCTTCACGCAGTTGCACGTGCATTCCACCAGACAAGACATTGTCAGATGCGTCAGATGCAGGTGCTTCGCAAAACCACAGCGTTGCACAAGGAATGTGAGCAGATGGTTCAGGCCACAAAGCAGATGTATGATTCAGCAATCTAAGTGACCACCTTGCGCCAGGACCAGGAACGTTTGGCAAGTGAAGCCGAGGTTCCTTTCTTTTTTCGTCCGACGGCCCCACGGCCCCACGGCCCCCCACGCGTCCGTCGAGTCAACTAGACTCCGTCCAGGCTCTTGCTGAACGGCTTGACTTCTTTGACCGTGTGGCCGATGTGGCGTGCGGGTGCCTGGAATTTCTGTTGGCTGTCCTGGACCTGGAATTTCCGGCCAGTGTGGAAAAAGGTGGTGGCCTTTCGTGTTGAGTTTCGATGAAGCTTTCAGAACACAAGTTCAGCAAGCTCATGAAGCAGCTCGCCTCAAGCTGCTCATGAAGCACTGATAACAGCTTCTAGACCACGTGGGTGTGAAATTGCTACTTGGTGCAAGGTGCATGTTAGATCATCAATCAGCCAACGGTTTGCTTGCCGCAGCAGCCTGAGCGAGAGAGAGAGAGGGAGAGAGAGGGAGAGAGTTCATGATCCCCGTTGCTTGCACGGAAAAGCGAATAGAAACATCATGTCAGATATTTATAGTGTATAGATCGTAGATGACTAATTTAACGGTCGTGAATCTCAGGAATTGGGCTAAAACCTGCAAAAGCGATAAGCCCCCTTCAAAAGCGATAACCTCAGAGCGATGGCCTCCAACCTAAGAGCGATGGCCTCCAACCTAGTAGCGGCGATGGCCTCCAACCTAAGAGCGATGGCCTCCAACCTAGTAGCGATGGCCTCCAACCTAAGAGTGATGGCCTCCAACCTAAGAGCGATGGCCTCCAACCTACTAGCGATCGCCTCCAACCTATAGATCGTAGATGAATGGTAAAGGTGAGTCCTTTTCACATACGAAGGAATTTCATTGCAGATTTGTCGTTTAGATCAGGCATTTCAGTTGACAAAGTGTTGCTTGTCAGTGAAGTGCGTTCTGCAGACTGGAACCTCGACTGGCAGCACGTCCAAAACCTAAAGTCAAGGAAGGCATACAAGAGGAATGAGCTGGCTGCACTTCTTCATATACATATATATATATTACTTTATAGTATATATATAGCATTTATATAATATAAGTCTTAATATGAGAACACATGCGAAACACATGGTGCCTTGACTTCAAAGAAGTGTCATTTCAGAACGTTTCCTGTTCACACACTACTGAGCACGAAGAGAGCAGGCATTTGCTTATTGGCTTGTCACGTTTTTGTCATTTCTGTTGCTCTTCTTTTTGGGTCATTCTTTCCTACACAGAATTGAACTCATCCCAGGTCCGGAAACCAATCGGAGTTTGCCTCGGCTCTCAAGCTCAGCTCTAGCTCCACCTGGTCCAAGCTTTTCCCCTTTCATTCCACCCGGTCCACCCGGTCCGGTCCATAAGTCGACGTTCTCGTCTCGACGTCGACGGCATCGATTCAGGTGCTGGATCAAATCGATGGCTCGATCGAATTTCTGGAGGCGGACGGATGATTCGCCTCGCCCCGTTCGACCGAAGCAACTCTTTCCGACCGTGCCGGGTCCCCGTGCACGTGTGGCGCGGTGGTTGAGTTCACCACGCGTCTTTCTGCTCATGGTGTCCACGTGGGGACACCGTGAGCCGCTTCGGAAGCGAGGTGGGTGGTGCGTGCGACGAACGGTCTGGCGGTCTGATCGGGGCCGAAGGACGAAGGAATTCGGAATGTTTTGGATGTTCGTTTCATGTGTGCAAAGAAAGATGAAGCATAGATTTGCAGTGGTTGCATATGGTTGCATCGATGGTGTTTTTTCCCAATGCTCGAGCCGGGCTCTATCCTAAGTGTTTTGGAGTCTGGGCCACATTTGTGTTGATCCTCTGCATCCTCCCAGGCGCATCCAGACTTCTGTTGGAGACTTGATCGAGAGTCAAGACCTGTGCCGAAAAGCCTTCAATGATGTCCAAATTCCTTTGAGGTCAAGCGCAACCCTATACGCATCAGTGCTGGAGCTGAGCTGTTTGGTACGTTTGGTGTGCAAACACATTGCATCCGTGGACCGTTTCCATTCTATTCACTTCTTTTTTTGCCCAGAACCGTTGCAGAAGAACAACCAATGCCGACGTTGGCCGGCCTTGTTGAACATATCCCCTTCAACTTAAATGGCGATGTTATGCTATGTTACTGTTACTGTAAATCAAGTATAATCGGTCATGACCCAACACATATATATAATATATCAGAGGCCAGAGAGAAGGCCAGAGCTCCCAAATGTCCTGATGCAGCCCTGGGGGCTCAACCCTCAGGTTCGAACACCTTCGGAACAGGGCCTGTTTGGCTCTCCGCAAGGGAAACCTGATCCGTCCAGTCGTCCGTCCGACATGACGTGACGTGACGTGACGTGACGTGTGTTCCGGAGGCGGACTTGTTGGGGAGAAGTCCGTTGAGAGTCCAATGAGATGTTTTTTTTTCCACTTTCTTTTTTTTCCGAAACCGGTTGAGGTTCTAGTCACGACATATCATAAATTTCTATGGGAACAGAACGATGTGGAACAGGGTTTTGTGAATTTCAGTTTCAGGGGCTCGACCCGAAGAAGTCACAAAGGGCACCAGTTTCGCTGAGAGGCTCCAGTCGTCCTTTCAGTCGGAAGCTCGAGGCTCCACGGTGACGAGAAGCTTGGAAAAGAGCTTGGCACAAGTCATGTCCTGAGAGCAAGTCGTGAACACTTCCTTCCTCCTGCGGAGGCGCCGATACCTATAGTAGAGATGATTGGTTTGATCGACACTGATACTTGGAGTAGTCATATTCATTCCTATGTAGCTACACAACACTTATCTGGTTGTCATCCAAAAGACAGAGTAAAGCTTTGCTCAGGTAGAGCAACAGATGAAGGAAGGAGATTCTGTACAAACGCAGGCCCAGTGGCGCCAGTGGCCAGGTTCAAACGCGTGAAAAAGGGACCATGGCCCAAATGAGTTCACAAGCACTGAAGGCGACCAGCTGACCAAATATTAGCACATGTTTTACCTTTGTTTGTTTGCTTCTGATTGTTGTGTGCTGACGTCTTCCGGCAGGTCTTTTACAATCGCTTTAAAGCAGCAGCCACCAGCTACAGGCGCCATCCGAAGCGGAGACCTTCGGAGACTTCGCCGTCTTGCTGGGCGAAGACTCGCCGAAGACTCGCACGAAACACTCGTCTTTCAACACTCGTCTTCACTGCCAAATCGAAGGAAAGGACCTGTTCGGGGCAAGATTGGGTTCAGAGCCTTGTGCCATCTGGTGCCCTTGTGCGTCGAAACGACGCTTTCTCAGGCCGCTGCTTTCTTTGCTTCACCAACGAGTAGATATCCACGAAACCTACACAGTGCGCCTCCTTGTGGCCCCACCGAAGGGTTTGACCGATGCTTGAGAGTTTGAGAGTTATTTTTTTGTGTGTTTTTGGAGGTGACCTTGACCATGTCTTGACCTTTCCTTTCTTGAGGTCACACTGGAGGAGTTGGAAGGTTTCTTTGTACATCTTCGGCTGAAACTCTTATCTTTGCCAGTCTCATTCTCAGCTGGGAGAACTACATGTCGCATGTCGGTATGCTTCCGATGTTTCAAGCTGTTTCTATTTCTACCAGGAGTCACATGGAGTTGGGTGATGTTTAGTCCCATCCAGTGAGTGGAGTAGCTGGGCACCCCGACTTCCTCCATGTTCGAACCCGTCTTGTGACTGCTGGTAGTTCTTTCTTCAGATCTTCACCGTTGGATCATGTAGTGTTTTCGCATGCCAGGTGTCGACGCATTTGCAGCCCGTGTTCCCAGGACTTCGGAACCAAAACCACCCTGGCTTCACCAACTCACGTGCCACGTTCGGTCGCGACGCCTTCGGGCCGGTGTTCACGAAGACCCGACCGTGAGGTCCATCGTCCACAAAGACTTGGAGATGAGTCAGTGGCTCGCCTCAGCTGGTGGTGGCGGCTCATGGGGGGCTTCCGCTTCAAACTCACTCAGGCTCACTCATTCGGTAGGTGGACCGTGATGGACTAGTCCGTTCACCGGGCTGGCCTATTCGTTCGTTCCTGTTCTGTGGTCTGTTCAAGGTTTTCCAACCCGTGATGAAGGGTCTTAATGTGAACCCAATGGCGATCTGACCAAAGGCATCAAAAGCTGCAATGAAAAAGAGGTGGCAAGAAACCATATCCTTGGCTGACTCAGGCTTGCGCCGGCAACCCGCCAGGAGAGCGGGTTCACGAAGAAGACATGACAGTGAACAAAATTTCAACGACAATCTGATCGCTGAAAGACACGTGATTCAAATTGAAACCCTTCACATCCATTCACATCCTGTGAACTTCTAGGCCAGCGCCTACATTTTGGAGATCTCGCAGTTGGAGCGCCAGTGCTTTGAGGCACAGACCTGCACCGCATGACCTGCGTCCTGAACCGCTTCTCGTGGCAACCGCATCAACGAGGCATACTTCGAGCTGAGGCAGCCGCAAGAGGCGAGAACGGCAAGTGGTTGAAGTCTGTGGATGGAAAAAAAAAGAGGATGAATTCCACGAATTGAGGAATTGGGCGATCCTTTGAAGATGTTGGATCGCACCTCGGATCCAAGGCTTTGAGATCTTTGATGGAGACCATTGCGGACATTTTCTACCAGACTCTTGGGCACTTTGCGATTCTGAAAACACCAATTTTGTGGTCAGAAAGCATCGGTCGAAATGCCAGAGCCAAAAACTGATTGGCATGTCATGACACGTCGTTTTCTGTTCACCATCCTACATGCTGTTTTTAGTTTCATTAGTTGCATCCGAATTACTTGATATTATGTTCTCCATTCAACTACTGGTATATTCAACTCAAACAAGCCGTCCTGGGTGTCCCAGGACCATGAGGCCCTTAGTCCACAGCTCAGGATCTCCGCTGCCTCGGCTTGCGCATCGGATCGCATGGGATCCGTTGCTCCAAAAAACATCCATTCTTGGTACCAGCTGCTTCCATTCGGGGTTACCTGGCTGGACAACCCTGCTTATAGGTCACCATTGGACACGTGACAGACAGCGCCCAAGCGTCCGCGCTCTCGCAAGCTTTCTGATCGTGGGAGCAACCGGTCGGTCGTGCGACCTAGGTGCTTGCTTGCAACTCCATCGACTCCTTGAGAGAGATTGCTGACTGCTTGTGGCCTCGGCGCGGATTGAACACATCGGTTCACATCGGATGGGTGGGACGTGAGCGTCGCTCGTGACGGTCGCAACGTGCTAAGCTTGCGCAGCGACGAGCGACGTGTATAGGTGTGTTTCACCCAGATGACGGGTGTGAAGAAGCAAGATGTCTTTTCGCCAGGCAGATGGATGTCCTGGAGCCACAGCGGTGCAAGTCTCAGAAGCATTTGGAGGTCACATTTTCGCGAGGCACTGGAATGGCCTACCGTGGATCCCCGAAACAACCCCGGCTCCAAATGTAGGTCAATGTGATGCAATATGACTTTGGAATACTTTGGGTGACCGCTGAAACATGAACAGATTCCTCTATTGTTCTCTAAACTTGGGGCTCCACCTGTGCTCCGTGGTGCCGGTCCACTAACTCAGTCCCTGTATGTCGCTCGGCTCCACCCTCGAGGCGCTCGAGCGATGGACTGGTGTCGTTCCTGGGAGTGGTCTATCGGCTCCACAAGGCGAAAGCGATGGTCGACCGACCGATGGCGTCACGGATGGGTTTTGGGGGACGCCGAGCAAAGAGAGGGCGGAGTCACGGACGGGAAGACGAACTTCAAGGCTGCAAGGCGGACCGGGGTTCTGTTCTGGAGCGGCGGACCGAGCGGCAGGATGTTCAAGAGAAGCTGATCTACAGAGCCTGATACCCGGAACGAACGACGAAAGAATGTGCTTTAGTTTGTACAGGTGCTGCGTGTGGCCTTTTTGTGTCTTCTGTGCAAATGATTGGTGAGGTGGAGATGTATATCCGAGATGACATCAAGGGGTGCTCCTGCAAAGTTTGAACTCATACCAGGACCATCCAGTGTAGGGTGTCCTGGCTGGACTACCTTACACATCCCCACACATCCCTTAGGGATCTCCAGCCAGGACACCCTTGGATGCTCCAGGTACTTTGGTTTACACTCCCTGGACGACCATTTTCCTCCGTCTATGGGTCGTGAGTTCCAGGGAGAGTATAAGTGCCAGGATCTTTTCCTTGGTGATGTGAGGTATGTCCCGAGCAGTTCTGATATGGACTACCCGTTGGGATGCTGAGATAGACTTAGGGAAGTCAGACCCACAATGTTTACACGATCTTTGTTCGCGAACATGGGCAGATGTCATCAGACATACCGACATGCTGTCCTTTTTCGAGTTAAGGTCTATGCTATACAGCTGTGACTCAGAGGCCAATCAGGCCGCTTCCCGCTTCTCCGGGTGGAGAGCCAGCTCGCAGCGAGAACAGATTCTCTTGAGTGGACAGCTGAGCAGCTCAAGCTTCCGGCTGAACCGCTTCAGGATCCGGATCCGATGCTGGGCGAATTCCGCAAAGGCGGCGATGAAGGGGTTAGACCGGGTTAGATATTAGATCACGATGTTTTGCATGTTTGCGGATGTCCAAAACGCTCTCAAAGTCTCAACCATATATGTTTGAACGACTCTGAAAGATTGTGAGAGTACATTCATCATGACCCTTTGATTCAACTTCATCAATCAAACCACGTCTCACCAACACGCTACGAACCAACGAACCAAACCCCGTCTCACATGACTGTCGGTTCCAGCGCAGCCACTTCTTCGCACATCTTCGCGCGAGGCTGGTTTCCATCACTGCCCCGCACGCTCTCCATCCTGGTGCGCCGCCGCACCGGAAAACCGCGTCGTCACAGCGAAAGACGCGGTCCACGCGTTCCGCGCTCGCGAAGGCGAAGATTTATCGAGTTCTGGAGATGTCCACCTTCCAAGGGCGCGGAGCCAAGAGCCCTTTTTTCCCCATGCGACCGGTGTTTGAGCTAGAATTGGGTTGCCGGATTGGTGGATGTAATAGGAAGATTCCTTCACCTGGTGCGTCTTGTAGCCATCAATCAAGGCTTGACACACATGTTTTCTTTATTTATAAAGGCTTGACACACATGCTACGTGCATGGCTGCCATGCGTCATGTCACTAGCTTCTTTTCTGTCTGAAGCTTGCTCCAACTATGAGGATTGCACAGGAAGCAGTGGATCTTTGCATGCATACCTTGAAGGAGGCTCGATACCATTCGTCCGATTCGGATTCCCGTTCTCATGCTGCGCACGCATACCGCATGCACGCACTTCTGCCGCGCACGAGGCATCCCAAGTCCTAGCACGAAGGTCGTTGCCCAGTTCCTCGGAACTGCAGGTGGAAGTGACGAAGTTGCAGATCACTTTTTGCTTTGGACACACTGACACACTGACGAGCAAGCGTGCTACCTGACAGGCAGTGCTACCTTTGGTGCAAATGATGGACTCGCAGCTCTTTCTTGTGAAGCATCTCCTGCAAGATGCTGAGAAGTGACACACAATCTGAAGCTTCATAAGCTCAGTCTTGCAAAGAGCCAGCCATAGCATAGAGGGTTCCATCAAGTCCCATGCAGCTCATCTTTCGGCCACTTCCCACCTTTAGCCTCTTTCTTCCCTCGCACGGTCGCCACGGTCGCTCTGCTTGGCGGTCGCAGGCTTCTCCGAGAGCAAGTGGCGGCCTTCGAGTGCGAACTGGTCGGGCAACGGAGCCGTTGACCGTTCCAGACCGTTACACTCCCGAAAACTCACATGGAAGTGGATGGCACCACCTGTTTGTAGTGGAAAATGGATGAACAAGGGGCCATTCTCCACTTCCATGATAGTTCCAGGGAGTGTAGATTCTTGGTCTGGCTCAAGCGAACGACACCCATTCTGGCCCCCAAATCCCAAAAAGAAGAGAGCTGCGCAACTTCCTGAGGTGGTCAGTGAGAAGTACTTCAACTTCGGAAATCTCTGGGAGGCACTGTGAGATGAGCATGCCCCTTTTGAGAAGCTTCTTTTTTGCACCATTTTCATGGACGGTCAACACTGGGGGGTTTTGTGATGTGCTTTTCGCAGGGTCTCCTAGTATCTCATGCATGTATTGTCTCATTTTCTGTACTATAGATGTCCGTAGTGTCTATCATAGGCCTATGCCTCGCGACACCGAGTGACACAGAGTAATTGGACTGCGAGGCTTTGAATCTAAAGCTGCCAGATGGGATCCTGGGTATCCTCAAGCCCACCATCTATCAAGCTGAGGCGAGAACCTCGAGATCTCGACGATCGGTCGACTCACATGTGGGATACGACTCAGGACAAAACCGATCCCAACGGCAGGGGCCAACGGCTTTGTTACGGTGCTCCGTCGATGTTCTGAAGTTCTGAACCTTAAGATTCTTTTGCTTATTGGTAGTTAATCTCGGTTTCACCAACCAGTTTGGACACTAGTTGTTGGGTTTCCAGTCGTTGCCGCTTCAGGTAGACAGCAAGAAAGACATTGAGTCAGAGCTGAAGGTGCGGTTTCTTTGTTCGTTTGCCCGTCGTGCCCGTCGGGTGGACAGCGGTCATATGCGGTCATCCGTCGTGGTCGGGGGGCGTGACAGTGGTAGGATCGACAGTGGTGGAAAGAATTTCATGTGTTTTTTTGGTCTGTTTTTTGCGCAGTCTGCCTGTGAAGCTTTGATCACCAATATCACAGCCACGGCCTCAAATGCTGAGAGCAGATCAAAGTTGTCCAAAGTCTGGAGGAGAGTCTTCTTCGCGGGATAAGAGATCCCTTTTTCTCCACCTTTTGCACAAAACTGTGAAGACATGTCCTTTGCGACTGGAGGACGACTGGAACCAAGGCTCACATCACTCAGCCATTGGCCGTGTCGACCTTAGCCGAGAGTACCGGAAGCGAAACGCCTTACGGTGTCCGTTTCGCTCAAAACCCAGTGGTTTCAGAAGAGATGACACTACCCAATGATGTCCTTTTACATGGGAGTCCAGATAAATTACTGGGGATTGTGCCATCTACTCACTGAAGATCTCTGAAGTAAATGTATGTAAGTATTGAGTTCATTGTCTCAAAATTTGCCTCCATGTTGCTGTGAATGGCAAGGGCATGGCCATTCTCGGAAGAATGGGGAAGACATGGCTATGCTGATTGGAGGGACATTGGTCAAAGTCGCTTCGTCGTTCGACCAAGTTCCACCAGGCGATGAACATGAAGATTGGCAACTTCTTGGCCAATCCTCAGGCATGTCTCGAATGGTTGCATGTGAAGTGTTCAAGCCATGACGCCTGTTCAACGAAACGTCGCACCTGAAACAGGTGGATCGAGCTTCCTTGAAGGACCAGCGAATCATGATGGTCAGTCTATTTGGGATGTGCATATGTGCATGCATGTGTCAAGGAAGCACTTTCAGGACTATTCTCACAATTCATGATGGATTCAGCGTCTTTGAAATTGTCGCTTTTCGCAGGATCAAAGCTTCATGCAGGAAGAGTTGCGGAATGTGATTGGCACCTTGACAAGAATTGCTTCATTGAACTGAGGCTTAGCTTGATTTGGATCGGCAGTGAGTTCGTTTGCTGATGGCGTTGTTCGAAGCGAGCTTCCGGGACTCCATCCGAAGATTTTCATGGCTTCACTTTAGACAAATCCAAGCAGAAGCGGACAAGAATTGGATCCTCTGCGAGCCCTTTTCAACGTAAGGCACTTTCCTGGACACTGTGAAAGTGAAAGTGCCTTTTGCAACCGCGTGCCTTGGTTGAAGAATGGTCGAACACTGGCAAAGGGATCTCATTTCGGCTGTTGATTGGATGGAAGACACATTGTCAGCTGGTCTTTCTTGAACCACTCGAAGTGGATCGAACTGGGGCTGCGAACTGGATCCTTTGTGGCGTCATGGATGCATCCCCATTGCATCGGCCTTTGACACGTGCAGGCACATCCGCCTCTACTTGTCTACGCCGGGAGGCAAGTCGCTGGTGTTTCTCAATGTGAGAGACTTCGCATCAAAACTTAAAACTTTATGTTGGTCTACATGAAAAGAGGATGTCTTCACGGCCATGGGACAGTGCAAAAACCCGCCACGGGTCAAGAAAACCTGCCGAACATGAAGGATGAACATTGTCCAAGTGTATTTGTTTAAGACATTGTATGACATTGCCCATGTTGAGCTTCTTGATCTGAAAGCGGAATTCCAGATGTTCTCATTGACATCGATGTTTTTGCCCTCGACCTCCCTGGATACCCCGTTGATCACGATGCCCTCGCACTATACCGCCTCGATCATGCCTGGCCACCACTTGTCCACTTGAACATATGGTTTTGCAACCAACAAAGATGGAATCTGTAGCAGCTAGGTGAATGCTTTTAGCTCCTTGCAAGGTTCTTAGTTCTGTCAGCTGAGCTTTGCTGTTGCCTTCTTTGAGTCTGTGTGTCTCCTTTGCGTGCTCGTGCTCATACATACCCTTGTTTGGCTGAAGCCTACCTTCACTAACTCCATGAAAGCGATGAAGGGAGGCAAGCTGAAGTCTAAAGTTGTCCAAAACTGAAAGAAGCAAATGGCCCCCGAAAATCTACGTGATGTATCAGATCGAACAAGAGGTCTTTTCCGCAGCCGCACATGTGGCTGTGGATATTGGCAATGTCACCATGTCATCAAAACTTCTTGACCCATCATCATCCATCATGGATCTTTGCGAATAGCCAGGTTGGACCTGCCATGTAAGATCCCACGTGTTGTTCCTGCACTGTTTTTTTTTCTTGTGTTCTTTTCATTCTTTTAAATCTATATACTGTACTTCGTTTGAACACAAGGTGCTTGTGGTCTTAGACCTCTGAAAACCAACCAAAAGAACGACCAGTCCGACCTCCGTCCTCGGTCCGACGCGGAACCGGGTTCCCCGGCTCCCTCCGGTCGGTCGTTCTGTTCCGACCTCAGGCACCGATGCTTCAAGGCGGGGAAGGGCTTCACGTTTGATTTACTTGGCTATTTTTTTCAGGTTTTGTAGTCATTTTTGGCTTGGCCGGTCGTTTTTTGGATCACAAGAAACCAATATAAAAATATATAAACAATAAATGATAATACATGACATGCAACATTTAAAGGATATCTCCTTCCAAGTCTCCTTCCACTTTCCTGTGTCGTCCATTTTTTGATCTGACACTGGATCTTGCAATATCTTGCATAACTGGAAGGAAGTGCTTGGTGGGTACAATCTAGGTAAGTTATTAATATAAAGTTGGTCTGGGCAGAAGGGTGCTGTTTATAAGTTCTTACAGAAATTCGCCAAATTCGCCCTTGTTGGTCTTTTCTTTGGTGTTTGACACATGTTTTTCCTGCCCCATGTCCTGCGTCCTTTTGTACATGGCCCGCACGGAAGCACCACAGGAGTACCTCGTGGCAACCTCGAGTTCGTCTGAGCTTTGGGGTAACCGTGACACTGCAGCGATTGCCGTTACCGCCGAGGCCGATCCTCTTCAAGCCGGTGGAGATGCGTCTGGTGGATACCTGGGGACGTTTGGAAGGTCTGCTGGAGGAGCAGAAGTTTACCAGCGATGAGCTAGCAGAGCCACTTGGATAGATGGCCGTGGAGTCGACTGAGATGCAAACGGTTTTGAGCATCAGTATCTGAGTCATCCACCGAAAAGAGCCCATTTGAACTCTATAGATTGATTCTACACCATTCACCATCATATTTCGGGTGGTTCACTTAGGTTCTAGGTACAGATCCATCATTCTCTCTGATTTGGGAAGAAGGGGCTTCTCAGACGATCTCAGGATGGGATTCATCCGCCCAGAGGCCCTGCGAGAGTCAGTGGCTCAATGACTGCGTTGAACAACCATGACCTCTAAAGGACCTCAAAACGCTCGATGTCTCACGTAAATGGACACAACATGCAAGAACGATCTGACACCTGCAAACTATATGAATGCAGGAATATTCAGGCAACATTTGTCAGTTGGTGAATAGATGTAAATAGTGAATTCTTCTTCTTTGACATCACTCTTTTAAAAGGCTGGTCTCCTCGCTCTTCAACTCCGTGGTGTGCTTAATCTACTCGCCGTCGTGTTCGATCCAGCGAGCCACACCTCATGGCGAAAAACAAACCACGCCGTCGTCCGTCCGTCCGTCCGTCCGACTCGCGTGTTCTTGTCTTGGGTCGGGTCAGGTCATGGAAGCACCTTGGGAGAGCATCGTGCAAACCGTCGCTCAGGCGCCACCCGAAACCGCGCGACCGTTGGACGTCCCTCGCTCGGCTCCCGCCGTGCGAACGAACGGCCGGCCGAGTTGGGCCACGGTTCGACCCGAGGTGCCGCGGCATCGCTCCAGCTCCAAGGAGGCGCCAGGGCAACCGGTGCCGACCAGCGAGCTACCGGAGCGGAAGGAGCTACCGGAGGCTGCCGAGGCACGAGATGAAGTGTGAAGAGGAGGGCATATAGTAGGGCTCCCAAGGCTTTTCTAGTGCGACTGAGTGGTCTTTGAGGTGGAGCCACAGGCAGTGGAAGTGGAGGTGTGGACGTGATTTGAACACAGAAGTCACAGGAGGTTTATTCAGAGACTATTTGCAGTAGATATTTGTATAGATCGTTTTCCGTTTATAACAGCAGAGGGTCCCGGAACAGAACACGCAGAATGTGCAGAATGTGCATCTACACATTCAAGGAGTTCCGTTTCGGATCAGGATTGCGCACTTGATTTTTGAACGGTGAGGAGTCACCAGTCGCCGCACCACCCGTGCCGGTGCCAGCAGCGGCAGTCTCCGAAGTCTCAGGCCTTTGAAGATCTCAAAAGACATGATCAAATTAACGATGGTATCAACATATCAGCTTTAAATGTTGATATGGCCTTTGATATCAATTAAAGTCAATTAAACCGAACACAAAATCAGATGATTCTAGAAGGTATAATTATGATGATACGGCCATGATCGTGTGATCCCCCTTGTCTTGGGATAGAGACCCAACTTAAATGCTTGAAATATGAGTTTGATCCCCAGACTTTCTCAAGACCTTTGATTGATTTCTTATGATCTCTTGCTTTCAACGAAGAGCATGATGTTATCCGATATGTGTTCTTTTTCAGTTGCATCGGTCTCGATCTTGGTAACATAGCTACAACTGCGGCAGAATCAGGCGAGGATCCTCCTGTGGCCCAGCTTGGCACTCGGAAGAAACCACCGACCGATGTCAGTCGGAAAGAGATGGACATGCCACCACAAGAAACATGGCCGATACAGACTTGTGAAGAATTTAAGATTGTCGTGCTACTTGCATTTGCACGCAGTGGTATGGTATAAATGATCATATACCTACAGTCGGGGACGTCCCATTGCTGCCACCCCACATGTTTTTGGACCAAGGCCAATGCAGCCGGACAGGTGAAAACACTGCGTGGACGCTGCGTCGGTTTGTGCAACGTCGTCGAGTTCGCACTTCTTGGAGTCGAGTTCGCAGCCTTTTCTGAATGCAACATAACCCAACCCAGCCAGCAGACTGGTCCCATCCGCACTCTGACGGTCGAACCATGCGCGGGAAACGCCGACAAAACAAACAAGCAAAGCAAGTTCCGACAGGTCTGAACTCTTCATGGATTCCATACAAGACGTCCGGGGGATTCTTTGCAGATAGACCTCAGAACATGGGATCTTAATCTTGTTCAGCGCAAGAACACCTCATTGGCTCACAATACACCTATTATGACTCATTGACTCATGCGTTCCAAGTTGATCACGACATCCTGCGATGAACATCACATCGGAGCCCAAAGATGTTTGGCAGGACCGGGTCTCCGACGAAAAACACCAAGAAACAACACAAAACAGGCTGAAAGGTCAGACCTCTTAAGTCGCTGGACATTCAGTCTGGCGCTGGACCTCTTAAGAGGTTTTTCTGGGCCGAGGGGAGTTCCAGGTCAGTGGGACGGAAGATGCATCACATTCTGGAGGTCCACACTCGGTGGTTCGCCTCGTTTGGCGAAGCCAAACGCCTCAACAAGCCGGTCAACAAGCCAACCAGTGTCACTTTGACAGGCGGCTGCTTCTGGTGATACTTCATTGTTTCCCTGGTGCAGCTGTGGATCCAGGAGAGACCACGGAAGACGTCCAGCACCACTTCTCACTGATTTATCTCACCTTGCTATAGGTGGTTTTCCGGACACTTCCTTGAAGAGTAATTACACCTTTGTGGGATTCTACATTTCACCCTGCAATCCTCTTTAAATTCGCAGGAGCCAAAGTCTGGGTAGATCTGGAAGACCTTGCACGCGGCGCAGGCAACACACAGGCGACACGGATGTTTTTTCGGAACTGCAAAGAAGACATCGCTGCCTGCGATCGCTGCGGGCGGTGTTTCGATGATGGCCCGAAAAAAAGCTTGCATTGAATTGATGCCAGGTCTTGACGCGTTCATATTGGCAAGATCAGTTGGATGCGCTTCATGCGCTCCATCCGCATTCCGCTCCTTGGGGCTGCAGAGTTCGTGGGAGCACCGTTCGGGAGCACCGGTTCGGGCGGGTCGCTCGGTGCGTCGCTGCCGCCGGTGCGTGCCGCGTGCCGGAACAGCCCTCAGGAGATCTCAGCGGCCATCGCATGGCTCTACTTGTTCGGATTGGCCGGAGAATCGGGATCGTCTGAAGCCTTGGTCGATCGGGATGTGGACAGGGCCGTTGAGATTGCTCGAGAAGGAGCATTTCAATCGAAGTGTGGTCGATGCTTCTCTTTGCTGGGCTTCCTTTTGGCTGTGGGATTCCCACCATTGCTTGGAGCAGCACACTTGACAGAAGATAGTGCTGGGATGCCGCGCCTGGTGTTTCTGGGTGATGTTTTATCAGACTTGTCCATCTATGCAGCACGCTTGCCTCGAGACATTGGTGCTCCTGATCCTGCTGCTGCGGCATATACCATTGCGTCACAACAGGGAGATGCGATTGGTCTCCTTGCAACCAGCTATTTGAGCCAAACAGGACTCATCCATCTGGACACCTACCGAGCACCCTCACCCAATCGTGCCTCCTCCATGATCTCTCGCCCGCCGCATCCGCGCCGCGGCGATGCCGACAAGAACGGCGACCCACGGTCCGCGGTCCGCGCGCGTGACACGGACCTGGCAAGGTCCTTGGGCCATTTGGCCTCCGAGGTGCTCCAAAACCTGCAGAACACGAGCGGTCGCTCCTGGGGTGCTTTACCTGGCCCTTTATCCGGAAGATCCACCGATCGCTCCGACGTGGCCTTTGTGGAGCTTGTCTTGGCCGACGTGGCCAATGCAAGAGCTGCGGACCTCGCACGCGCGGCAACGTTGCTGGAAGGAAATCCTGAGATGTCTCAGCATCTTCCGGAGATCGCACGTCAACATGCCAACGTCCCGGAGCTTATTTCATCAGCAGCTGAAAAGGGGGATCGAAGATCAGCACTTCGTGCCGCAGTCGATTTTCTCCAAAGCAACAAGACAGAGCAAGCAAAACCCCTTTTGGAAGCAGTTTCGCAGGCAGAAGACTCTGAGGAAGCCATGCGGGCCATGGCCCAATATTACCTAGTGCGATTCGTCGACCAGAACGAGTCAAGCCAAGAAGAAGCAAGAAGACTTGCATGGCCTCATTTGCTCCAAGCGGCCGATTTGGGGCGCCAAGATGCACAATTGTTGGTGGCTCATGCCCACGTGAGCCCCAACGACTTTGCAGCTCTGGAAGATGAGCTCGACCAAAACACGACGTCTGCCCGAGAGGCCCAACGGCGTTATCGTCAACTGGTCGGAGGCCAGGGCCAGGGCCAGGGCGAACAGGGCCGGCCGAAGGGGAACCTGTCAGAGGTGCAAACTTTTGCAGCGTACAATTTGGGCGTTTTATCCTTGCACTCGCACGATGGTCCAACTGGTCCGAGTGGTGGTCACGAGGAACCTCGTGACACAGGCGGGACCCGCTCCGAGGCGAAGCTCGGCTTGCAACGTTGGGAACGAAACGAGTCGGCGCGAGTCGGCGTAGAGTGTAGTACTGGTACGGATTTTAAACTGGGCGGAAGTGTTGAAAGGCTATTTTCTAAGTCCTTCTTCTCAAAGCCTTCAGCTTTTCCGGAACTGGAGCCGAGGCACGAGATGTTTCAGCAGGTGGCGCTCTCGCAAAGTCACATCGTTCGGCTCGTCTTAGCGCTGGAACGTCGAGCAGCGCAGCTGGGAGATCTGCATGGAGCACTCTTGCTGGCGATGCTGTTGAGTGAACCAGACATGATAGGGAGATAGGGAATGGATGACAAAGTTAAACTACCATAAAACTAACTATACCCAGCATCAACATCATATGTGGTGCATCGAACCGAGCAATGGTATCAATATCAATTTGGTTTTGACCCAGTAGGTTTGCAGGCATGCATGTTTTTCTTCTCGCGGAGCGTGTGACCCTTGATCTAACAAATATATGTAACAGACCCAGTTTTGGGAAGGCTGGGCAGGTATTAGCAGGGAGACCGGAACGACGCTTTGAAAGAGTAGGTATAAACCATAGACTGTGGTCTGCCTATTTTCAATACACAGCCGTTTTAGACCATTTTCCATTTGTCCATCATGTTTCGTCTTTTTCGTGGGTGCCACGCGGCAACCAAAAGACCACACGCTCGTGGCTTCGTCTCCGCGCTCGCCGCTTCCGGCGGCGGAGACGCTCACCGAACGGGCGGTGCAACGGTCAGGTGACATGGGGCATGTGCTGGGCCATATGGATGCAGCACACCTATGGGACCAATGGTCACATCTCCGGCCTCCGCATCTACGCACATTGAACGAAGACGAAGTAGACAAGGAAGAAGAGGCGTACATTTTTTCTTTAATTTCTATTTGTTTTCTCATGACTCATGAGGTACTATCATGATGACTATATATAATGTATATAATGACTATCATTACATATCATGACTCAAGAAGGAATTTAGACACATCACGAGAAAGGAGTCAGGCATTGTCGCCGACATATCCTTCTCTTATTCAGCGGAATCATGGATTTCTCCCCCATTCTTTCACCTGGAGGTGCATCCCTGCGACTTGCATGGCTGGTGGAAGACGGCGACGGCAGATTTACTGGACCAGAACGTGACGACACTCTTTGCAGCAAGGGATGCTCGACAGAAATGGCCACCTTTCGGAAGGAAACATTAATTACATCATGGCCATCAGAGTCCCAGAGTCTCACGATGTCCCCCGAGTCCGCACGTGTTTTTTTAAGAGTACATCAAGATCTGAGGTGCTTGGTGGTGGTTCTGACCTCAGTACGAAGCAAATACTAAGCAAAGTCATCAAGCTTTGCTTCATGGCTTTTCGTTGGGACGGCTGCCGTTTTGTCCTAGGCTTTGAGATGTTCAACGTCAGCGATGACCAGACCACCTTGGCCCACCTCTCTGGTCTCGAAGGAGAGATGACGATGCCTCGAGCGACAGGAGATTTCCAACATTTGCACTCCTTCTTGCGCCACGTCAGCGATTCCAACTTTCTCAACAGGAAGTGATTCGTTTCAATTCAATTTTGCTTCTGTTTTTCAATGATTCGTTTCGCAATTCCAACTTGCTCAACAGGAGGTCGTTTTCAATTCGTTTTTCAATGTTTTTGACGTTTTTGAGGTGGAAGCAGGTTGGAACAATCTGTCAAGTCGAAGTCTTAGGTTAGCGAATTGTGGATACTGTATAGTTCTTTGCTTCACTACTGATCTCTGGAACTATCAGGCCCCGAAAGGATGACCATGTTCCAAATACCAAACAGCTTGTGAACTCCACTTCCGTCATGATTCCAGGGAGTGCACATAGTGCACATATGGTTGTCGATCTAGAAGTCCTAATAGGTAGCGTTGTTGACAATGACCCTGGAACATGTCAAAGCCTTATTTGGCGAAAGTTTTTTCTCGAGTTCGCGCAAGTAATTCTTTTTTGGTTAAAGATATGGCCAAAGATGTTCTTTCTGCTGCTTTTGCTACTGCTACTGCTACTATACTGCTGCTACTACTACTACTACTGCTACTGCTCCTGCTCCTGCTCCTGCTCCTGCTCCTGCTCCTGCTCCTGCTCCT